AACAAATCATGTCAGATTCCTTTATTCCTTGAAAAGGCAGAGACACTGTGGATAAGGAAGAAACAATAGATTTTTAACTTTCACACTATGCAAAATGACTTTTGAAATAAGTAAGGAGATAAAGACAAAGATGAAATAATACGAGACTGTTGATGGTTCATTGTCAAACCATAAAGATGTACCTCTGGGGGGCTAGCCACATCCCAGTGTGTCTGGGATGATGCTCAGTGTTGTTGCAAGTCATTCAGATGATGGAGAGCACACTTAATCATTTCTCATTCAGTATCAAGCTAGGATGATCTGGAAGCATTTTGGAGGACAGGATTGGAATGAAATTTTTTTTTTGACAGACTGGAGAAATAGCCTGAATTAACCAGGAGTGTTCATGTGTAATCCCTCTGGTGTATTCAGGTTGAGTTAGATTTTGACTAGTTGGGGAGAGTTCAGAATAGGTCATCAGGAATGACCAGAGACCGAGAAAGCATGGTCTGTGAAGAAGGTTGAAAGCTCTGCATGGTCAGTCATGGGGAGGGAGGTATAGGAGCCTTCAAATATGTGAAAGGCTGCTGCAAAGAGACAAGGAATAAACTGTTCTCCATTTCCAGTAGAAATAAGACAGAAGTAATGAGTTTAAGTGACAGGTATGAAGATTTAGAACAAACATTAGAAAAAAATTACTGACTAAATACTGGAATATATTGCCTGAAGATACTGAGGATTCTCCATCATTAGAGATTTTTACAAACAGGGCAGACAAAATCTGTCAGAGAGAAATTAGATATAGTTGATCTTATTTTGAATTAGGGGAATGGATCAAATACCTCATAAGATTTATTTCAGCTGAATTTTCTGGTAGTTAACTGGTTTGGTTAACTGTTTAGAGAAAGAAAGCCTGGTGGAAAGATTTTTTTCATAGGTCCTAATCCCATTTCATTCTTGAAAGTGCAGAGGACCTGATGAAAATCTAGGTGAAAGACATACTCAGTATTTCTGTCACTTCAAATGTAGAGGGGAAAAAAATCACAAAACATTACTGTTTATTGTGCATCTATTATAAATTTACTTAACTATGGCACTTTTGATATGGCGTTGGAGAAGTACATAGACTGTGACTACAGGCACCCTATAGTGTATTCATTGTGTGTTATGTTTGAGCAGTTTGAGCTCAGAAGCTCTAGCATAGTTATTTTGAATATAAAGATTTACTGCAGATATTTAATGTAAGACACATGAGACAGTTAAATTTTGTGGTCTATTCAGTAGTAGATTCTTAGAACCCCCATGGGTTTTAAAGTATTTCAGTACTCAAATGGTTCCATCAAAATAGCACCATGAGATGTTATAAAGTCATGCGGATTCAGGTAGGATTTGTAAGTTATCTTGAAAGCCTGGGTAGGATCTGGTCCAAAGATCACCACTCAAAAGGTGTGTATTATTGCTAGGATGTCTTATGTTTGCAGATATCACTGTCGTGGTTTGATCCTGGTCAGCAACAAACCCCCGCAGCTGGTCACCCTCCCTTCCCCCTCCCCACCTGGGAATGGGGGAGGGAATTAGAGGGGTGAAGGGAGACTCGCAGGCTGAAATAGGAACAGTTTAATAATGGCAATAAAATGAGAACAGTGATGATGATAGGGAAAAAAAAAAAAAAAGAAATATATAAACAGGCAATACACAATGTAATTGCTCACCACCCGCTAACCAATACCCAGCCCGTTCCCGGCTGGCGACCCCGAGATACCAAGATCCCACAATCGCAATCCCGGAAGCGAGAGAGACCCTTCCCAACCACCCCTCCTCTATATAGTGAGCATGACGTTCCATGATATGGAATATTTCATCGGCCAATTTGGGTCAGGTGCTCTGTCCATGCTCCCTCCCTGTGCCCTGGCGCACGGGCAGAACATGAGGAGTCGGAGAGTCCTTGAAGTCTCAGCAGCAGCTGAAAACATCAGTGTGCTATCAGCATTCTTCTCATACCAAACCCAAAGCTAAATCCAAAACACAGCACTCATCTAGTCCCTGAAAAGGAATATTAACTCCGATTTCTCCAACCTCTCCTTGTGCGTCAGTACCGTAGGCCCCTAGAAAATTTCAAAGCCAACTGCATGACCCTCTTCACTTTCTGAATATCCTCTTAAACTGAGGTGTGTCAAAACTGCTCATTGTGTTCCAGGTATATATAGTTTTGGTCAACAAATACAGTTTCAATTTTGCTTATTGTTGCGATACAGGTAATAGTTAAATGCATTAGTCTAAAATTAACAAAATCAACATCAAGTTTCTGAACAAAGTTGTTCTGTTACATACAAACCAAAGGGGGAGGGGGGGAAAAAAAAAAAGAAAAGAAGAAAACTGCAAAGAAGTGAAAGAGCCTTCTGAAAGTGTTTCATCAAAACAGTTCTTTATTTGACTTGCCTGAAATCTTGAAAGATATTACATATGGCCACACACATGGTTTTTGTGCAGATTGACTTAATTTAGGTCAACTTTGGCAGGCCTCTAAAATAAAAAATTGGCAAGAGAACTAATTTCAAACTCAGAGATGTAGATTGATGTCTTAAAGTAATTAGCAGCTATAACCTTGTTGTTGGAGTCTGTAAGAAATTCAGTGAATCAAAATATTCTTATGAAGAAATTATACACTATGAGTTGATGTGGCTTTATCCATTGAAAGATCCTTCTTCCCTTTTCATTAGAGTGTGTCCACAGAAGAAATTGTGTGCTACAGCTCCAAGAGGGCCTGAGTAGAATCTGTTGCCTGCTGTGTTTCTGGAGCACAGGATGGGTCTGGCTAAAATGAGTCTCCATTGCTCTATCTCCCCCATTTTCTCTGAGTGCTTTACAGTCCCTGGTGTGAGTCTACTCCTGGCATAGCAGCCCCTCCCTGGACGCTGAAAGTCTCAGACCCAGAAGCTCACACCAGCCTTACATCTAACATGTTTTGCTTGTGTTGTCTCATTCTCTGGCAATTCCCAGTATGCTCTGGTCTCTACACAAATGCTAACCATTGTCTCCAGCTTTCTTCAGCTAGAAATGAGGCTCTTAGGTCCCCTTTATTCTGGCTATTTCTAATTAAAATAGGTGAAAGGAGACAAGTGGTAGCCCTTGCCTGTCTGAAAGAAAACATTGTATAAACATCATCAAGGGGGGAGTGCTCTATAAATGTTTATAGAAGGCATTCAAAGGACATAAATTAGGGCATAAAGGTTTTGAATGTATTATATCAAGCTGTGACCACCAAGGAAAGGAAGCATAGCTATAATTTTACTAAGTATAATACCTTGTATTAGTAATTACAAAATTTCATACAGGCTTAAGTGTCTAGTAGGTTGTTGCCCTGGTTTAGAAGTACATATCTGATTAATGATAATTATAGCATCACAAGTTGTTATTCAGAACTGCAGGTTTCAGCAAAATAATTTGGTATTTGGGTTAATATAGATTGTGATGTATCAGATGGCATGATATTTGCACCTTTTTGCACTACATATTTTATAAATCAGTGTTTACAGCTACATAAAATATCACTGTATACAGTTATGAAATGGTGAACATGATTATTTACAGGAAATCGTAATGCAGAATGTCAACTTGAGGAAAAAAAAGTTTGTGTATGTTTGGTAGCAAAAGAGTAGGAAACAGGCAAATGAGGGAAATGAAGAGAGGAGGGTTTTATGTGTTTGCTGTAAGCAGACACTGAGGAAGAAAGGTCTTTTTTGCAGCAAGCAACTTTATTTAAATGAGGAAAAATCACAGTTTTAAAAAATGCTTGTTATTATCTGCCTGCACATTCTGGGTAGTAGATCATGGAATGATATTTGCTTAATATGCCCAGAGAAGTTTCTGAAAATTAAGTCATGTAGCAGGCAGGATCCTAGGCCATGATCTCAGCACCTAGTTAAATCTGCCAGCCCTGTTGAAAACATTTCCATATGGTTGCACTGACAACTTTACCATAAAACAGAATTCTTTGTTTTTTGTTGATTTATACAATCAAGTGGGTGAAGGATGCTGCACTTTGTAAATATTTAAAAAGAAAGATAATACTGAAAATTGGATTTAAAGACAAACTAATAACCTGGCTGGCATTCCTGGGTTCTGTCATCAGAGATGGGGTTCACATGAGTGTTTTAGGACACATCACAGTTTTCCTGAACTTTTCTCATTCTGTTTTCCATGAACTAGGATTTAGAATTTAGCCTTTGACCAGTGTTCAGGAGAGCTGTCCTTGAAAGCCCTTGTCATTGACAGGAATTGACGGCTAATCATGGATGGTTCTGTGCTGGAAAGTTTAATGACTTGTAAAGCCATTTAAAACATATACTTGTTTTTCCATTTAGCAATTGAGATTTATTAAAACTGCAATTTCTTCGGTGGCTTGAGTCTACCAGGCAAAAACTAAAATGAGGAAGTGGATATATGAAGTATCTCCTCATGAACCATTCCAACCTACCTAGATATTCCTGTTAATTTGCTGCAGAAGGGCAGGTTTGACATTGTCACCCATGAGCTGTTCTGTTTCGCAAAGCAGACAGCTTGGTCTTAGAGATACTATCAAGTATTATTAACAAGACCCAGACTGGTCTTTACTATTAAATTCTAATGGATTTCCAAAGATAGGAATGTAGGATAATACTTTTTGCTTTTATCTCTTCTACATATGAAGATCTATTTTTGGTATTTTGGGGGGCAAGAAACTGTAGAAACAGTATGTCAATGTATATACTACAGTAAATGCCACCAGAAGGCTCTTGCTGTTCCTGATTCCAGTTCTGGTTCTTGTCAGAAAATACAACATAAGTGGCCATAATATGTTAGCTGGCCTGGCTTCCTGGGTGATTTCATTCCCCTAACTATGATTCTGCCACATGTGGCTTTGACATAAGATTCAGCTATCTATCTTTGGAGTAAACAGGAGCCATTAGGGCCTCTCTACCTTCATATTTGTAACATAGAAATCTACTGGAAAGTCTATGTATGTCTTTCATCTGTTTCAGAGGACCATCCAAAACAGAAATTGTAATAGAGAATGAGGAAATGCAGCATCAAAAATGGCTGAATCTGCACTCAGACTGGAAGAATAAAAATGCATCCACTTTACACGCTCTTCTAGTGAATGGGTAAGTAACAGGTAAATGAGATTTATTTCACTGCTGTGGGTAGTCACTTATCAATGGAGGGTGACAAACTATTTGGTAAGCTATTTTTTCCCAAGGTATCTGTGTATAAATCTCAGCACATACATATGCAAGTTGTTAAGATACAGTCTATAATGATTTTAGTGCTTACTACAACTGTAGTCTCTTTTGAGTCAACCATGTGAATCCTCAGGGGCCCATTCTGCCAGACTAACAGCATATGAGTGACATACAGGTGATGCCCTTGAAGCACCTGGACCAGACAGCTTCATTAAATCTCTGCAGATCAGGAAAGTCCTCTATAGCAAAACCTGTGGCAACATCTTACCATCCTCTGCAGCCCATGTAGTTTGGATTAATACATCTGGAGTGACTACAACTTCTTCAGCAGAAGCTATATCCACTTACAGTATGTTTCCCTAGCAGCTCCTCTGGCTTCAGATGGTGGTATATTCCTTTTAATTAACTTGACTAAACAGGTAGTTGGTAATGAGAAGTCAGGATCTCATTGTTGAGACATTCAAAGTGTGACTTTGAGATTGAAGCCAATGAACTTAAACATCCAGGACAAAACTGGGAGAGCCATTTAATCCCCATCTGCAACTACATTCTTCAAAAAGCAGTTTTATTATTTGCCTGCTCTCTCTCAAGTGCCTAGGAGATTTCAGAACATCCTTCTTCTACAGAAAACACTTTTCCTTTCTCTCTGTCTCTTTCCATTAGCCGAATGGTATCTAAATGCTTTTCTATAGAGTAATACAAGAACAAACACCCTGGGTTGTGACCAGATGCAAAGGCAGGTCCACAATCATGTTCTGTCCAGTCACTGAAGTGCAAAGCAGAAGTTTCAAGGTATTTTGCCATGTTTGAAAGCAGTCTGCTAGGAAGACATGTGAAGGGATGAATTTGGAGACTGTGAGTTACAAGATCTAGTAGCAAAAGATCTAGTTTCGCCTCAAGTACAAGTTAAAGGAGAGAAAACACAAGTAATGAGGATTATTGATAAAGCTATTGCAGAGATGAAAGTAACATGTAGGAACAGATGTGCTCCTGAGCCCTGCCATCTGCATGTGTTCATTTGGATCAACTTCAGCATGTAAAACCTCTGTGCTGTGGAGTATGTTGTGTTTAAAGGAGCTGTCAGGTGCCTGGACTACTGGGAACTTGGGCAAGAACTAACAAATGCACCACTAGTTTCATAAAGTTTTGGTAAGAGGGAATGGCATAGTGCGGGCTATGCACACATAAAAGCTTAAAGTTACCTCTTTTAGAGTTGGCTGTTTGATAAGTTGAAGTGAAACATGAGTGTGGCTGGTCTCAGTTTTATTTTGTATATTTTTCTATGGAGCGCAAATGCCCTCCAAAATTGTGCAGAGAATTTTCTTTCCTGAAGTTGGTCATCTAGGAACAGAATTTTATGGTCCGTGTTTTCAGGAACAGAAAGTAGGCTGATTTGCACAGTGTATGAATGGGGCATATGCAAAGTAAGGGACAGAGGTCTGGTCAAATCACTGACTGAAGCTAGTCTGGTGAGCTCGCTGGCACTTGTGTTGTGCACACATTAGTATCTATGACTTAAACTCAAATGCAGTTTATTTTTAGGTGGTTGCAATTTAAAAGATACTGCCTACCTACTGAGATTACAGCCTTCAAAGAATTACCTGGGAAACATCTAATCTGTGAAACCAGTCTAATTTAGCTCTGCATCTGCCTCAGAAAAGCATGTATATGGTAGGAATGAAAAAGTGGTGGAAATAAAAAGGCAGTCACCTAGTTGAGCCACAATGCTCGCTGTTTTAATTAGGATCTCCTTTCCTTTGTCAAAGAATCACTTCTTTCCTCTCTCATCTGAAAATTTTTAACGGAAATTATAATTTTTTGCTGTTTCAATACTTATTTTTGCAAATTTCCTGAACTTTTTCAAACCACCCAGACTTCTAGGGCATGAAAGATCATTTGTTACCAGAGGTATTTCAGAGAAAATTCTATCCTTCAGCTGTAAGTGAGAATGGCAATCTCTGTGCTTTCAGCTGCCATAAATTAAGATTTGACAGACTGCACATCCCAGCAGACCTCAGGGCTGGATCAGTGCCCAGAGAGCGAGATAGTCGGCAAAATATGTAGCACCCACTCATGAAATGCATTGTAAAGCTGAACTAATATTTTGAATTATCTCCAGGCAGACACTGGAAACCATGGATGCTCTGGCATAAGAATCTCCTTGTGTTTCTTTTTACAGTTTGAGGGAATTTTTAACAGCTAGTTTACAAGAATGACTACAATACCTGTGCTGATTTGCAAATTACTAAAAATTACATCAATTAATAGAGATTTCCATCATGTTCTTGTTTCAATATTTAGACAGATGTGTCGAAGCAGAAGCAAAGTGGCTCTCTTTTGCACTAAAGAAGGTAAGAGATAAGTGCATATAAAACAAAGATGTTTTTCAAGATGTGTTAAATTACTTTAACAAACGCAGATGTTTAGTCTGGATTCATCTGAAATTTGACTAGACTTCTGCAACATCCAGTTTTGCATTGGGCGAGGGGTTTCCCTACTCTATTCAGTTACATCAGCTTTTCTTAATTTTTTGACTACGAGGCTGTGTATTGCAGGAGGCCAGCCCTGCTCCCACAAAATGAATTTTGTCAGCAGTCAGGTTCCAAAAATTAATTTGATAAAACTTCCTGCTGAAAATATCCTTTAACACCAGAGTGGTTAGCAGGCTATCTGCCCGGGAGTTGTAGCTGTGATCTGTTTAGCTGTGAAGCTCAAGGGGACAGAAGAACCTAAAGTAGAAAGCTACAGACCGAGTCTGTAGACACAGCAGACTGTGCGAGTTTAAATGGTTTGGAAATGCAGAAATTCTTCATCTTCAATGAAATCATGTTCTACAGACAAGGAAAGCTTTGCTGAAGAACACTTAAATTATGAATTAGCTTGACACAGGGAAAATTAATCACAGAGCATGACCTAAATTTGGGAAACTAATCAAATCATTTACTACTCTTACCAGGAAAAAAAAAAAAAAAGCAGCTCATAGGAGCCTGTCAAAGGTGTTTGCTTCTACCATATGTTGCTTTAAGTACACTTGAAACCCCTTGCCCTCTGAAGTTAAGTGAACACAGTAAGAATCACAAGTTACAAATAACTGTTGCTCCAATTTATTTCTTCACCACTAAATTCTCATGGATATATGCAATAGCAGCATATCCTCCCTTGGGAGGCTGATTGCAGAAACTGGTGGTGTTCTTTTTTTCTCTAAATCAGACTGAGTTTAAACAGGATAAATAGTAAGTCTGCCATCTTAAAAATCCAGAATATAAACAGAAACAAAAGTGAAAGGCTAACTGTCTCAGAGAAGTAGCTGTCTGGCAGATGGAAATCTGGTATAATTTCCAGTGGAAGTGGCTTATAATGTAGAATGGACAGAGTACTGGAATGTCTTCAAATATTCTCCCTTAGTAATTTCCACTGGAAAAGCAAGCCTGATTCTGTGTAGCTGAGTAGAGAGTGTGACATTCATCTCACACCTGGCTTAAGAAAATCCTTATTATTGCTGCGCAGATTTTCCAGATACAGTTCTTATGGATAGCACAAAGTAGCCCAAGCACATTGCTAGCTGACAGAAGGACAAGGACATACATCCAGAAAACCTTGCCAAGGGCAGCCTGATAACTCCTGAGAGGAAGGAAGTCAGGATCCCAAACTTAGTGTGGTCAGTATTTCAGGCTGAGCTGGTGAAAATTAGTATCAGGAGAGCAAATCCTTTGGTATAAAGGAAGGATGAAAATGGCTCAGTATGTCTGGTGTTATTGTGTGGTTGTCGATGACCTAATTTACTGTGCTGTTCAGTGTCATTTCATGACTCCCAGTATCGTCCTGTGCCCATTTTCTTGCAGAAGGTCTTGTATGTGCTACCTTTGCGGTAACGATTAACTCCCCTCTGCATCTGTTCCTCACTAGACTGTGGCCGTCGCCCAGCTGCTCGCATGAACAAGAGGATCCTTGGTGGTAGGACCAGTCGCCCTGGCCGATGGCCATGGCAATGCTCCCTGCAGAGTGACCCAAGTGGACACATATGTGGCTGTGTTTTGATTGCAAAGAGATGGGTCCTGACAGTAGCACACTGCTTTGAAGGGTGAGAGGTCTCAGTTTTACTGTTCATATAAACTTGCACATGTGAATTACCAAGTTGTCTTTCCTCTAGCAAATGCACGGGTGATGGCCTTTGCAGAACAGCAAATCACACAGGCCTGGTTTTAAGAGACTAAAAAAGAAAGTAAATGGTATAAACTAGCATCAGCTTAGGTTTTCATATGCTTTATTATTTGTTGCTGGCATCTGTACTGGTGAAAGCTAAATGAAGATGCCCTGACTTTCAGCAGGAAACAGAAGGAAGAAGACCAAAACACTAATCCTACAGTTTTCCTCCAACTGTCATAGGTTAAAGAAATCATTCTGGGCACCAGCATAGAAATTACCCTGGAAAAATGCTGTGGCCGTTACTGAAAACTGAGTATTTACTCACAGTGCAGCTGACATATGGAAGTCATTGCCTTTTCTGATTATAAACACTCCACTCCTTTATTAGGATTGTGATCACTAAAAAGTCAGTATTAACCACTGCTCGCTGTCTCCTAGTATCTCAGTTCCTGTGGTGGATGGATGATCTGGAGTGCAGAGGAAGTTTACATGTCTTAGGAACTGCCTTGGTCATTGTCAGCTTTTTGGTGCTAGCATTTTTTTTTAATGAACCACAGATTTTGGAGGGAAGTTTATTACCTCTGTTCTTTTGTCTTGTACCTGAGTTTTTAAATTTGGTTTCTAAAGCTAATGGGAACGTGTGTTTTCTGCTGTAGTTAGCAAGTACTTTTCTGCTATGCAGTTGTCATCAGTGCTTAATCCTGCTTTAAACTGATACTCGCTCATTGGAAATTATTTTAGATTACACTAAACACTTTTCTTTCTCTTCAAGCCAGCAGAAATGCTGTGGTAAAGCAAGTATCTCCTGACTAATATTTCTTTATAACAAGAATCATTTCCTTTTTTGGTAATAATTTAAATTTTGTCTTTTTATGTCTGAAACACTGAATTCTTTAGTATTTGTTGTTTTTTTCTTTTTTTTTTTTTTTTTTTTTTTTTCCGGATCTTGATGGAACTTGTGGTAGGGACAAAATCTGTGGCTTTTGTGTCCAAGTCAGATGTCATGCAGGTGATAGTGTGAGTATCTCAAGGTGTGAGGCTATTCGTGGAAATAGGGATGGAAGTGACATTGGAAAGACCTCAGTTCTGACTATCACATCATAACAAGCCCTAAGGATGTCCAAGAACTGATTTCATTCAGAGAGAAGTAATAACCAGAAACTTGAAAGAGTAACCTAGGTGACCCTCCTTCTAAACTAACAGATTGCTGAACCTGAATAATACAAACAAGAATATTATATTTATCAGATTTTGGGTCCTGCACAATGAATTTCTCTTCTTCCTCATCTGTTTTTAAATAAGGCTAAGCAGTATCTGGAATATTTCTTTACCTTTGGAAGAACTTTTACTGGTGATCTAAAATAAAGGGTGGGATTTAGAGGTAGATCCTTCAGCCATATTGCATTGCTACGGAATTTCATGGGTAAGAGATTCCTCTCATTAGTGAAAGATAAGCAAAGAATCTGTCAAACTTATAAAGTAAAAATTTTCTCATTTTTGTCAAATGCAGAAAGACTGCCACTACATTTTGGAGCTGTTCATTTACTCCTCATTTAGGGCGATATAGTATCTACGTTAGCTCAGAGTACTACAAGTAAAAGGTCTCTTTCACATTTATATTCTAAATGCTTTTAAGTACTAAGATATCTTCGTTTAATAATTAACTGAGGAGTTGTAGTGAACTTTTTTTCTCTTCTGCCTCTCCAAACAGATTTGAGGGTATGCTCTCAGTGGCCTGAAATCTTTAAAGTCTTCATAGCTTGATACAGCAACACCAAGATCCTTCTCGATGCCACAAAGCTTTCTTGACATAAAGTATTTAAATAGTTGCCAAACCAACCAGATAAGCCAACAATTAAAACAGATTTTAAAGTGCTCTGGTGCTTTAGACAAAATACTCAATTTTGTGAAGTATTTTATGAAGTTCACATAAAATTTGGGATACAAAACATAAGGACCATATAACAATAATGCAGCAGAAAGTATTAAGGCAAACAATCATGAATACTTGTAGAGGGCATAAATGGAAAGAGCTAAATTATGTTCTTTTCTAGCTTTATTAGTATAGTCCCCAGAGTTTTGTCAAGATTGTTTTGAAATGCATTACACCAAAGCCTCCAAGACATCAAGGTTTTTTTCCTAACTGTAGGACAATACAGTCTGGCTGTGACTGCTCATTGCTCTGAGCAATGCTTTCTTTCAGTGTTCATACACACAATAGCATAGGAATATTCTTAGTACTTAATCTTGTAACTTTATGGAAAAACTCACAAACTGATCATGATGGTATAATGATCATTATGGTCTGAAATACCAGAATTTTCATGCAACTCTAAAATAAAAATAACCTTTATTTAGCAACCAAATCTTTTTACAGATTATAGAAATTACAATCCTGTGAAGTACTGTGAAAAAGCTGAAATTTTGTATGCTTCGATTTACACTACTTTGATTAAGCTCTGATCTTGTCAAAGGTGCTTAGTTACATGTAACTGTCTTTCATCAGTTGTGAAAAATGCTTTTTTGAGGGTTTTTAGAATCACAGACTAATTAGGAACCCATGACTTACCCTGTGACCAGTTATGATCAAGACGTTACACCCTCAAAGCCTTTTATAAAGTCTGTGTTTTTCTCATGTGTTTCAACAGACGCTAGTTCAGTCTTTCCATTTGCATCACATGCATCCTTTTTTTTTATTTTTTTTATCTTGTATATTTACCAAATGAGTCTTAAACAAATGTAAGAGTCAAAATAATGTTTCATCCTAGACATAGGGAGTATGCTTAGCATAGACTGAATGCCCAGTAAATAAGGGATTTTTCCCACGGCTACCAGAAAAAAAATAATTTTGATAATAGAATTGCTTCTCTGAGACTCCCTTGGGATTTCAGCTAGACTTACTACTGAACATCATCATCACCCCACAGAGATTTGTACACGCCCACCAGTAAGCCTGTGAGCACCTAAGACTTGGGCAGGATCTGAGAGATGACTCTGAGAGCCTTTGGCATTTAATACAGCAACTAACAGGTGGTTACACGTCTTCTAAAGGTGTGAGCTTTAATTTGTTTGGTAACAAGCAGGAGGGAAATGGAAAGCCTTGTCTTTTGTTCCTCAGATCTTAGCTGTAAGTAATGATGCCTAAGTATTTGGTTTTTATTGTAGCATTTGTATGTGCAATGCTTTGCAAAGTGCAATGTGCAAAAAATCAGGGAGAAAAGATTCTCAAGTATTTTAACTTAAAAGAACGCTCTCAATTGACATTTCTTATTTGTTCTTTTCACAAAGACGAGAAAATGCAGCTGTTTGGAAGGTAGTGTTTGGGATCAGCAATCTTGATCATCCATCAGTCTTCATGCAGACCCGACTAGTGAAGACCATCATCCTCCACCCACGCTACAACAGAGCAGTCGTGGACTATGACATCAGCATTGTGGAACTAGACGAGGACATCAACGAGACAAGCTATGTAAGACCTGTCTGTTTGCCCAGCAAGGACCAGCTGGTTCGGCCAGATACCTACTGCTACATCACAGGCTGGGGACACATGGGCCACAAAAGTAAGATGAATACTCCCAGGACTCTTGGAGAAACATGTTAACCTTCTGCTGAGTTAATCAAATAAGTGATCCCATTACAAAGCTTCATCCATTTATACTATTACTGGAGCTTATTAAATACTAGGGAATTGCAACTACTCATGAAGGGATTTAGGTGTGACTACAGCCTAGCTTTTTCAAGTCAGCAGCCTGAATTTATGCTCCTTAATCTTTATTTAGGCAAGTGGCTTGATTTTCAAAGATGTTGAGGAACTAGAAACTCCTATCAAGAAAGCCAACTGAACAGCTTACCCTTTTACTGGTTTAAGTTGTATTCAGAACTGTACTGAGAGAAGGTATCAGATCATCAGTGCAGGGGGGGCAACATTCTTAGTTCTGTGAAAGCAGAAGGCACTGAAAGCATTGGCGTAGAGGCTGAGTGAACATTTTCTTGAATCAACGCTCTGTGTCACACTTTGGACACGTGACACAATTAGTTCCATCCAGGCATAATCATGAGTATTGTTTTTGTCTCTCTGAACAGAACATGAGTTTGTTTTCTTGTTCTGTGGCCGCTGCAATCCTTGGGTCCCACAACAGGAACAGTTGTGTTATGTAAATCTTTGTTTAGACAAAATGATTCTGCATGCATCATATTCAAATTACCCTGGCCCCAACTTTGTTAACGCTCTTGCCATTGTGTTTCTCCCTTTGCTATTATAGTAATTACTAGGGAAGGCTGCATTTCTGTACACTGGAGAATGAAATTTTCCTTGCAGCATTGCTTCAGGTGGGACATCACCTCTAGTGGCCAGGTCGGACATGGGGCAAAAATTAAACTGCACATGTGAAGGATAGGCTGTTTGCTAGCAGCTCTACCCATCTAAAAATATCTTTTACGTAATGGCAGGGAAAAAAACTCCACAGAATGCTTTTGCATCACTGGTAAGTGGGAAAAGCTTGTTCTCTAATGTGGTTTCAGTGTTGGTTTTAAAGGTTTCATGTTATGAAGCATCAAAACCCATCATAGCTACACAGCATTTAGTACTTCATGCCCTAGACTGAACAACTTGCTTTCGAATTTGAGCTTGGTCAGCTGTTTAGACTAGGAAGGAAGAAGTCCTTCATTGTCTCCTGAATGTGCCAAAATAATTTCAATAACCTTTGAATTCTGATTCCCTGATACACTCTTTGAGTCAAATTTACCCAACCGTAACTCAAAAAGGCCGTGATTATTCCAAGCTTTATCATGAGAGACACCAAGAAACAGGGGGATCCTGCCACGGAACAGCGAGTCAAACCTCTCCTCCCCCTCCCTCACGTTCCCGTTTTCCAGCCAGTACTGCCCCCACCTCAGATGTCCTGTCCTGTACCACGGAGAGGAGCTCCCCCTCCTCCGCCCGTCCGTGCCAAAGCACAGTGAAGGGCAGGTGTCACACCAGCCCCCACGCCACGGGCCCGGGCCTTCGCCGGAATGCAACACGGGCACGCCGGGCTCAGCAGCACGACAGTCACGAATCCTGCGATGCAGCAGCGCAGAAATCCACCTGCGTTCACCTCAGCTTTGTGCAAAAGGGGGATTCTTCCCTCCTTAGATTTAATATATATATCTAAAGTAATATTTGTAGTCTATCCTAAGGAAAAGTTTATCACATCTCAACGAGCCATCACAGCTAAGTGCTTGCGTGTGTGTGTGTGTGTGTGTAGTTTAATGCTTAGTTCTGTTTTTCAGTGCCTTTCAAGCTTCAAGAAGGAGAGGTTCGCATCATTTCCCTAGAACAATGCCAGTCATACTTTGACATGAAAACCATCACCAGCAGGATGCTGTGTGCTGGCTATGAGTCTGGCACTGTGGACTCCTGCATGGTAGGTCTCTCCCTAAGGAGAAACTCCCAGCCAGACTTGCTTTTAGAAGTCACAGTACTGTGATGTTTATTAGGTATCGCATACTTCAGCTACTGTACGACTGGCAACAGTTATTTACATATTTTAACCCAACTTTTACTATTATTATTGGTGTAATCAACTTCAGTTTATGATAATCAAATGCTGCTTGAAGACTCCAAGGTTTAGCTTTATGAGTTAACTATTAGACTGATTTTTTTTTTTTTTTTTTTAAATTGGTATGAGCCTTCTGCAGGTAATTTTTTGTACAAATCTAACAGGGAGTGAGTACTGGTAACGCTGTGTGCTGCTGCAGAGTTCATCAGAGCAGCCAGTTTTTACAGCTGAGTTACTTATTAAAGGCAAATGGCTGTAGGAACTGAGATGTAGCTTTAACCATGTGACTGCTGGCCACGTGTAGCCCCTATGGACTGGCTTTTCCTTTCCTGTTGCAGGGTGACAGTGGAGGACCGCTCGTGTGTGAGCAACCTGCAGGGCGCTGGACTTTGTTTGGTTTGACATCTTGGGGCTCCGTCTGCTTTTCCAAGGTTTTGGGACCTGGAGTTTACAGTAACGTGTCACATTTTATTGAGTGGATTGAAAGACAAATATACATCCACACCTTTCTGCGAAACTAACTCCAGACGGTAAGCATTGTGCTGACAGGCAAAAGAAAAAAGGAATCAGCACTTCAACACTGAAGATGTTGCAGTCCAGAAGCTCCATGGAAAGGAGTTCCAAGCTCTATCTATTCTTGTTGTAGAGCTATGGAATATGCAGTGTATGTTAGCAGTAAACCCGCTGCTGGTGAATACACTTTGGGGTAGCATTAATAATCCTTTTGACATTTCTTTTAACTGTGTTGTGGGGCTATTCCAAACACAGCAAAAGGCTTAAAAGACAAGAATCTGCCATTTTCTGCCTTTCAGCTATTCAAACTGAGCAGCAGCACAGACTAGAAAAACCTTTCTAGATAACCTGTTTTAATACTATTCAATTAGTAACACATGCATTTTCACTCCCTTGTCACAAGGAATGAACTTGGTGCATTCCCACAGCACTGACAGGACGTATATTCACAAGGGCAACCCCAGGCATGGCCTCACCCCACGCTGGAGGGTGTGGGAGAGCTCGACGAGTTTGTACATCCCTGTGGCACAGGGCACATGGAAATACCCGTGCAGGTCTCCAAAGGGGCACAGCCGTGTGCTGCTGGCTCGCTTGAGCAAACGCATTCTGTCCCTCAGGGTGGCTAACTTGCGTGGGCATAACCCTGTGCCACCCTGACTCCACAGCCTCTGTCCCCAGAGCCAGCCCGGGATCTCTGGGGGGTGACGGAGGGACCGGTTGGCCAACGCACCTGTAACTACCACCTGAGGCACCTGAGACCAAAACTCAGTTGTTCAGACTCTTTGGACAGTTTCTACCACTTCATTTTCTGAAACTTCCAATGTCATAATGTGCCCAGGAAACACCCGTGTCTTGACAGCACCAGACCAATTGCACATTTATCAAACCTATGCCCCACTGGCTTTTTTCCCCATTTTGTATGGTATGTTCAACCTATAAAGTGTACATTGAATATCTCCAGCCCTCTAAAAAGTAACAGAGTTGGCAATGCCACGGCAACAGTTTCCCTTCCTTGAGCTGCTAGTTTGAACTTCTGGTGAGACATGGAAAATGCAGATTTAAAGTGTAAAAGATGCAATGTGAGCAGTATCCCAACTACTGGGAAAGTAGGTATTTTTGGATAGGTCTCTTCTGGTATCTTGCGTTGAAAGTTTCATTTTGCTTAGGAAGATTAAACAACTGGGAAAAAGGCTGAAAGAAATCTGAATGATAGAATGCTTGGATTCCAGCTTCTGTTCACATGAATATTAGAAATATGTTAAGCGAAGTACAACAGCTTCATCGGCAAAGGCCCAAAGTAGCCAGACGGTGGAGTGCTCTGGGCAGTAGGCAGCAGGCTAAGCCTTGACTCCAAGAGCCTGGCTGAAAAAATCCATGATAATGGAGCTTGTTGGCACCTCCTTATGGCAAGAGAGGGGAGGTGTGTCCTACCAACTGCTGTCGGGACATCCTGCACAGCTCACAGCTTTTGGGAGGCCACCGTAGGAGTCAGGAACCCGAGGATTACAGGATGAAGTTCACCAGGGAGTAACATGTTTAAAATTTACGTGTTTCCAGTGCTGTGCCTGGTCCCCTGTGAATCCAGCCTAAGGCATGTAATTCCCCTCTCTGCTACCTCTGGCACGCCCCCATGACAACACGGCAGGGCTTGGTCAATACCATGACTGCTGTACGTGGAAACATGCATTAAAAGAGGTAACTAATGGACGCTTCCATTAATCATCTTACACCTAATCTACATGGATCTGCCTATTGTTTTAGTGAAGATTTACCTCTTATTTCCATATCTTCTCCTTTAACGTGCCTAAACATTACACATACTAGACGGCGCTCTAGACAGCATTTTTAATAGTCAGTATTCATGTTATGGATTATGAAACTCTATTTAAGTGATTATTGTACCACTGTTTCATGCTCAGAAAGAAAACCCTTCTTCGGTTTTGGTTCGTTGATTATTTTTTTTTTTTTATATATTAAAGATTTTACTATAACATATAAATGCTCTTCTTCCCCCCCAGCTATAAATGAGAGAAAGCAGCTGTGACCATGTTTTTCCAGTGCAAGTAGATTACCGATGAAGCAGGTTATTGGTGCCCTTGCCTCAAGGATACGGAATCTGGAGCTCTCAGTCCCCACTTAAGCTTTTCTCCAGGGCCAGGATCTCTGCAGCTGTAGGGCAGCACCGTTCAAAATCCCAGAGCCGGTCACAGAGAGTTACCAGAGGAGGCAGCCCAGGGGCCGAGAGCCAGCCCGTCCCGCTGACGCCTCCGGTGACAGGCTGGTTTCACCAAGCTCTGTTTTCCAGCAGTTAAAACAAAGAGGTGCTGTTGTGAAATGAACAGCCCAGCCTGACATCTCCCCACCAGATGAAGTATTTAGCAGCTTGGAATTTTGTAAAGCACTGGAGTACGTATAATCATTTCATGTAGATATCAGCACTACCAAATGATAATATGTAATTACACATCTTAATTACCTGGGTTTGGCCTGTGACTGGTTTCCAAGCAGTCCCTCCCAGGAAAGGAGGGAGAGCCCTGCTTAAACATACTGTCCAGCCCCTCCTGTATGGGACCAGTCTGAAGAAATCACAGGCTGAGCCCCACCCCAAATGGCTTTAGGAGGGAGCAGTTGGGTCTTTTCCTTCCCTGCAACTGTGTCTGACACAACATTCCATGTAAAGAAGAAAATTTGTAATTTTATAAATGTATTTTTATACTGCTTTTTTTATGTGTGCACATGAAATAGACAAACATACTCCTTCTTCCACTGTATCAAGCCTTTCCCTGTGTGCTGACATAACGGCTATGGTCACAATTACGCTGTTTCTCTTACAAGTGTAGCCTCACTGTAAGGTAACAATCGTTGGTTTTACTTCTACCACAGCTGTAGCTCCAAATGGAAGGAATGTCACACAGTCAAGCAGATGTGTTTCTTTCTCGCTGTACTAATAAAAATTTACAATCATTTTCCAAGTAACTTCTCTGTTGAAAATGTGCTTTAATCTTGAGAGACACCCAAAACCGAAATGGAGGTGTGAAGTTACAACTTTAGCAATAATGCCTAAAAAGAACCTTAAAAACATATTTGCATACTCTTACCTGGCTTTGTTAAGCAGCCCTGACAGCCCTGTTGGCACTACACTTGGGGAGGTTCTGGCAGGTCAGCCACTGTACAACTTCTAGTTTCTTCTGCATGTATGCTTCCAATATAGAACATTACCAAGAATCCTGCTGCCAACGACTACTCTGGATAGAAAAATCTGAAAAACTAAAGCTGCATTCAAATTTCTCTGAACACATTTTGTTCTACGGCTTTCCTCCGGAATATAATTAGTTTGAAAAAAAACCTCCTTTTAACTATTATGCAGCACTTAAGTCAACAACATGTACACATGCTGACGTCAGAATAATAAACAAAATAATAAGCAGAAAGTTAAAATTGCTAAAAATTTGCCTTTTCACTGCAGTCAACAGTAACGTATCCAGGACCATGAGGGCAAGAGTAACAGAACCAGAAGAGGACATGAACAAATAATACAAAAACCACATTGAAATTCAGCTGAGACTGTTCCTAACTGAGTCACCTTCAGAACTCGCCCCTCTGCAGAGAGCGAGGGTGGTCTGGCCAGCGGCAGAGCTGCGCCCGCCGGTGCCGAGGGAAACGCCACAGCTTGGGCTAAACATCCAGCTCAAACTGAGCCCCAGGTACAGCCCAAAGCTCACAGGGCTGTGAAAACACTCACTCAATAAAGGCTGTGGCTGACTGCCACCTGCAAATGGTTAGCATACAGGTGTGGCTGCTGTGAAAAAATAAATAATATTAAAAAGCTGCCCTTTTTTTTTTCTGTAAATCAAATATTGCACATCAAAAAGTGAGTTAAAGCTGCTCTAGGTGTAGCTACAAACTTTGGGGGAGCTAAAAGGTGGCTGTTTTGGTCTGTTTTAAACTGACAAACCTGTAAATGCTATGCTTTCCTTCATGACATCTGGAAGACACATGTGAGATTATCTTAAAAAGCCTGTTTTCAAAATGGAAAAGTCAGGTCATGCTGTTCTTAAGTGCAGAAGAGAGGAAGCATGCAAGGGATCCTGTCGTCTCCGGGGCTAAAAAAATATAAAGGAAACATTCAACTGTTGAAAAGCAAAGGGAGAGCGATTCGCTTTCACCCTTCTCTTGGCACCACTTTAGGTATGGGCAATTAACATTTTTAAGCTTTTAGACTCACTACCCTCATCTCCCTTCAGTAAAAAACAGCAAGTGAACACAGCAGACAGCCCTTAGATATTTACACTGTTTGTCCAAGAAAGAGAAAAAAGAAAAAAAAAAAAAAGAAAGAATGAATAAATAAAAACAAAGAACAGGTTTTACACAACAGATAATTTTATCACTTAGACTGCTTGTCAAAGTCATCTAAAAGAACACAACCTATAGTGGACAATTTTAAGCAACACACAACATCAGTAATACAACACACCAAGAAAAAAATAAAATATGTGTGTGTGCGTGTTACTCTGTACCACTTCAAGGGGTACAAAAGTACTGACACTCTCAGCACACAGGAACTTTTAAAAGGACCTAAAGTTTCAAGACAACCCTGAGGGCCTTGCACTTTTGAGACCCAGATGAAATCATCCTTCATCCAATGTAAGAATCCATCCTGAACGCCTCACTGCTCTAAGCAGTGAGTAGTGGGGTGACCAGGCTTGTAAAAAGCCACAGAACAGCAATTTAAGTGTCCCGGTGGCATCACGCAGCTGCCCCTAGGTCTAACAGGCGACTGCCACTCTTGTCTCTTCATGTAGTTATTCTGATGCCACGGCTTACAGTCACAGAGGGTTTCGGAAGATGTGACTCCGAATGCTTACAGCTTTTGTGCGATACGCATGCGAACTCCTGAGGCTAAATGGTCACCTCCCTGCCAAATCTGCCGGCAGGTTCTGCTCCCGCAGCAGAGGCGACAGGAGGGCAGCTCACAGGCCAGTGTTGTCCCCGAGATGCCTTTTTGCAGCGACAGGAAGGGGGGAGAGCTGAGCCCTGCACCCCCTCGTGTCACTGCAAGTCCCAGAGCGGCTCCACGGGAGCTCAAGGTACCTCAGGCACAGAGTCACAGACCTGCAGAACCACAGAACAGAATAACCTGTTCTCTGTGGCCACAGGTGAAGAGAGGCCGTACATTTAAGGTGCAGAAGAAACATTCAGCTGAGACAATAGAAACAAAACCAATATTTGACTTTGAGGGCAGGAAAACACCGTCCTGGCCTGCTTCTCTGGGGCTCTTTACAACAGGAGAACATCTGCTAGGAATAGAAAGGGTAGAGTTGAGCTTGCCTTTGGGCTGTGGAGCAGAGCCGGTGGCTTCTTTGAGTCCCAGCAAGTCCGTCCCTGTATGATTCTGCTCTTGCAGCAGCTAATTTCCCCGCACAACCTGCTGGCTGTTTTGCGTCTTCTTGGACACCTCAGAGTTCCATGGCTTGCAGAAAAAGCTGAGATGTTTCACTCCGGACACCTCAAGTCCACTCCTGGCAAGCTGCCGCCTGCAGCACGAAGGATGCTACAGACAAACATCTAAAAATCCTAACTGCAAACCAACATGCTCGACATGATCTCTCAGAATTTGAATGTCTGCCATCACTTCAAAGGTCCCCACTAACCTTATGTTAGAATTTACCAAAAATATTTTGTCACGTGTTGAACCAAATAAAAAAAAATATATTTGCAGAAATGGCTGTCATCGCTGGCTCCTTCCACTGTTTTTCTTCTACAGGCTAAACAAAAAGGATATTTTTCTCACCACTGGAGAAGGGATGGAGTCAGCCCTAATTACATTCTACCTTTTGAAAACAGAACCTTTTAAAACTTTTGGTAACATGTGGGGACCTGCATTTGAATGAACTTAGCATGCCCTCAATATCTGCCCTGCATAACAGCAGCTGTCTCAGACCTCACAGCATTTGTTTAAATTCTTGCAGAGATCTTAAAAGATGATAAATATGTAATGCTGATCACTGACGTGGAAAGCTCATGGTTCAATTAAAAAGCAGAGCCCTTGCCCCAAACACAGTGCCTAAAAGTAAACACACAAATCTTGGCAATTTGAAGGCAGAAAGTTTTAGAAAGAAACAGAACCAAAAAGTGGGCTCAATACTAGTAATTCATTGGCAGCTACGGTCTGAGGAAACTGTTTATTTCAACAGGTGCTCACGGATAGGAACAGTTTCCCAAGTTCCTGCATAAATTGGCCATGAAACTTTTTGGGGAGGGAAGTAAAAAGCAGGCAATATTTTAGACAGTCTGGAATCCAGAGGTAGCCACATGCACCTCAGCCAGCTTTTGTGCAGTGTGCAGAGCAGTGGGAAACTGGCAGAGGCAGGACATCTCCAAGACAGATGAGCAATGGAGCTCAAATCTGGGACATGCAATGGGTTATACCTTCTTTTGGGCAGCCTTTAGAGATGCTTGTGCTGTTTATTATAGAAGTCTGGAGGCATGTAAAAACATCTGAGAGTGAAGAAGCTCAATGTCATCAGCTAGAAGCTGCTATTTATAAGAAAAGACCTGAAGACAGACTGGAGCTACCCACTGCCCCTGCAGACAATTTTACAGTGCAGGCATGAGGCAGAGTTTAGAGAAAAGTCAGGCAGCCAAAATTTGAGTTGGGCGAGGAGGAAAAGAAGTGCAGTCAGTGGCGAATGACATGGAACGACATGTGGAACCAAAAAGGAGAAATGCAGCAGGAGGATGAACTACCACGAAGAACAAAAGGCTGGGCTAGGATTTGCTCTTTTTGTGGAAGAGGAAGGTGAGGGAGACACGTATGTCTCATCTGGGCCACTCTCTGATGGTGAAAATTGTGTTTGGCCAGCACCGAGCTGGCCCATGCAATAGCCTGGTGAGCAAACTGGACCACAACGGTAAAAACCAATTACTGTATGCACACACTGGAGGAGTCTTGCAACAAGCCAACCAGTAACGCCACACCCCAGCCCTTCTGCTTGCTTCATACTTCAGCAAGTGCTGAATCCTGGGGAACGCTAGGATTTTAGGATAGCAGCACAAGGAGCAGGTTGGCTTACCTGAACTGGATCCCACAAATCCATATTCGTGCAATGTTCTGTCCGTAACACCATGAGGTATTAAAGCAATGCTGCATACAAGAAATAAGCAGTATGCAAAGTCTACTGTGTGAAAAAATATAAAAAACAACCCAGCCATTTAGATCTTGAGCATCTTAATAACTTATTGAAAAGCTTTATAAACAAAAAAGCTTTTAAGGAAATGTGTGCATCATCTACCTTGGCTGAAGAAAACAAAACCACAACGTAGAATAAATCAGCAGTTATTACTCCTGGGTTTTAAACAGTTAGCATTCCAACTTTGTAAAATACACTAAAGTATCTTCTTCACACAAAACAGAATTCAGATCTGCTTTGTGTCCCAGAGAAACAGCACTGCTGACCTCTTCAGAAGCACACGCACGGACTTTGGCACCTGAGTTTTTACCATCCAGTGTGTCTGAATTAGTTTCCTTTGATGAATTCAGAAATACGGGCTTTTCAGAGTTCAAGCCATTTGTAGTCCCAGACTCATCTTGAATGTCTGGTAAGAAGGAGGTGTCTTCTACTAACCCGTCTCTTAAACAGGCCTGAAAAGGTGTTTTAGATGTTGGCAAAACACTGGTAATGCTTTCTTCCTCCGATACAGCACCTGTGGCTGGGATGGAAGACCCAGAAGTAGCCTGGAACTCCACTCTGCAGTTTACAATGCAGTCATCTTTCCACCTCTTAATTGCTTCCCTCTGCTCCTCATGGGTCAGTCTGTCAAGGTGCTTGGCTCTCACCACTGGAGACATAAACAATGTTCCTTGGAGAACTCTCAGCAAATATCTACAAAATAAATAAAATTTCAAATAAGCTGTTTAGAAGCAGACTCAAAATTGTTTCCAGCAACAGTAAAGCAAACCAAGCATCCTTCAAATAACCACGAGGCAGCAGCAGCCTCTGAAACAATTTTTGCAGGTGCCGTTCTGTGAACATAAGCCAGCAACTGCACCAGAACATGTTTCAAAACTGGCATTTTCAAAGACAGACACTGATCTCAGGTGCTTCCATTTTTCTGTCCTGAACACAGTTCTCTTACAGATGAGTTACTGCAGCAATGCGCACCTGAAGGGCTGGGGTCCCAACTACACTGAAAGTGGAGCTTTCTACACATAGTGTCAGGCCCCGGAAAAAAGGCATCAAAATCAGTGCGCAGTTTAGAGTTTCCCTTGCACTTCAGTGCCAGATATAAGGAGTTAAGAGCCAGTGTGGAAGAAATCAGGCCTAGAAAAATTCATGCTTCCAGTTGAGAAGCTGTTTATCATTGCTGTTTTGCACTGATATAGCCCTGGAGAGGTGGGAAGAGTAAGCAGAGCGCTGTTCTAAAAATCTTAACTTTTGCAGGAGTCAGAGCACTCACAGAAGCAAGAATGAACATGAAAGCAAAGGCCAAAAAACCCAAAACAACATATGCAATAAGAGGAATATGGAGTACAAGTGATGTTCCCGAATTAAACTCTGGGAATCATTCATATTACAACTGACTTAACTGGCAACTTAGGTTGGCCAAAGGTTTTTATCATAGCTTTTTGTAGTGAATTTTCAGTCAACAGGTCATCCAACATGTGTCCCTCTGTAGAACTGCTCCTTAAAAACTCCAGTTTTTAGCCCCAGTCTCATCCCCTCAAGCTAGAATGTGTAGAGCACCTGTAGAGCACCCTTTAGCTTCACAGTCCCCTGCTGAGCAGTGGCTTTTCAGCACCTTACAAAGGATTCCATCAGAACTAAGCAAGGGAAAAAAGGTATGTGTGACAGCAACAGTTCCATAACAGGCTTTTCTACTTCAAGTCACTGAAGTAGAAAAGCTTGAATTGGCCACAGCAGCTGTAAATCTCCTTAGGTATTGGCACAGGGAGAGTGCAAATGACTCCATGAATTTCACTGGTAAGTCTAAATACTCTGCATTTCATTCACCATGAAAAACTGCCTTCTTCAAAGTGGAACACCTGTACACTGGAAGCAGTCACCAAGCTGGAAGCTTTCTCCTACCTCGGTTCTCTACAGCCCTATCAAAAGGTCCTAGAACAGCATTTATCTATTTATTGTGTGAGGGAGATTTACTGTGTGTGCAAGAAAAGACTCTACTATCACCACCTGAAGCCAAGCTGAGAGCAGGGATGGAGAGGGAAGAGCATACATGTTTCTTCCACCTCACGGTGTGTCCTTCTGCTGAAGTGTGAACCAGAGCTACCAGACGTGATCTCCAGTGGGTGTGGCAAAACCCTGGCTGATATGATTAGGACACAGATGAGGACGTGTTCAGTGGGGCCTCTTCAGGGACCTGCTTGGCATAGTAACATTGGATAAAGCCCTGGAGGGAAGAGGGGCCTGAGAAAGCTGGTTAATATTCAAGGATCACCTCCTGCAAGCTGAGGAGCAATACATCCCAACAAAGAGGAAGTCAGGCAAAAACTCCGTGAGGTCTGCATGGATGAACAAGGACAAACTCAAACACAAAAAAGGAAACCTCCAGAGGGTGGAAGCAAGGACAGACAGCCTGGGAGGAATACAGAGAGACTGCCCGAGTAACTAGGGATCAAGTTAGGAAGACCAAAGCCCTGATAGAATTAAATCTGGCCAGGGATGTCAAGGGCAACGAGAAAAGCTTCTATAGGTACATCAGTGATAAAAGGAAGACTAGGGAGAATGTGGGCCTCTCTGGAAGGAAATGGGAGATCTGGTTAGCTGGGATATGGAGAAGGCTGAGGTACTCAACTTTTTTGCCTCAGTCTTCACCAGCAAGTGCTCCAGTCACACAGCCCAAGACACAGAAGGCAAAGAAGGGGACCGGGAGAATGAAGAACTGCCCACTGTAGGAGAAGATCAGGTTTGAGACCATCTAAGGAACATGAAGGTGCACCAGTCCATGGGACCCGACGAGGTGCATCCACGGGTCCTGAGGAAACTGGTGGATAAAGTGGCTAAGCCCCTATCCATCATATTTGAGAAGTCGTGGCAGCACAGTGAAGCTCCTGCTGACTGGAAAAGGGGAAACAGAACCTCCATTTTAAAAAAGGGAAATAAAGAGGACCCTGTAAACTGCATACCACTCAGTCTCACCTCTTTGCCTGGCAAGAGCATGGAGTGGATCCTCTTGGAGACTATGCTAGGGCACATGGAAAATAAGGAGGTGACTGGTGACAGCCAACATGGCTTCACTAAGGGCAAAACACGTCTGACAAATTTGGTGGCCTTCTATGACGGGGTTACAGCTTTGGAAGGGACAAGGGAAGAGTAACCGATGTCATTTACCTGGACTTGTGCAAAGTTTCTGACACTGTCCCGCATGACATTCTTGTCTCTGAATTGGAGAGATGGGGATTTGACAGACAAACCACTTGATGGATAAGGAATTGGTTGGTCAATGGCCCGATGTCCAAGTGGAGAGCAGTGACCAGAGGCATTCCTTAGGGGCTGGTATTGGGACCAGTGCTGTTTAACACCTTTGTTGGTGACATGGACAGTGGGATCGAGTGCACCCTCAGCAAGTTTGCTGATGACACTAAGCTGTGTGGTGCGGTCGGCATGCCGGAGGGCAGGGATGCCATCCAGAGGGACCTGGACAGGCTGGAGAGGTGGGGCCTGTGCAAACCTCATGAAGTTCAACACGGGCAAGTGCAAGGTCCTGCACATGGGTCAGGGCAATCCCAAGCACAAATACAGGATGGACAGAGAATGGATTGAGAGCAGCCCTGAGAAGGACTTGGGGATATGAGTGGATGGAAAACTGACTATGAGCCAGCAATGTGCGCTCGCAGCCCAGAAAGCCAACCGTGTCCTGGGCTGCATCAAGAGAATTGTGGCCAGCAGGTCAAGGAAGGTGATTCTTCTCCCCCTCTACTCTGTTCTTGTGAGACCCCACCTGCAGTGCTGTGTTCAGCTCTGGGGCCTGCAACGTAAGAAGGACATGGACTTGCTCAAGAAGGTCCAGAGGAGGCCACAAGGATGATTGGAGACTGAAGCATCTCCTTTATGACAGGCTGAGGGAGTTGAGGTTGTTCAGCCTGCAGAAGAGAAGGTTCTGGGGAGACCCTGTAGCGGCCTTCCAGTACTTAAAGGGGGCTACAGGAAAGGTGGGGAGGGACTCTTCATCAGGGGGTGCAGGGATAGGACAAGGGTTAACAGTTAAACTTCAAGAAGGAAGATTTAGATTAGATATAAGGAAGAAATTCTTCAGTGTGAGACAGTGGCACAGGTTGCCCAGAGCAGCTGTGGCTGCTCCCTCCCTGGCAGGGCTCAAGGCCAGGCTGGACGGGGCTGGGAGCACCCTGGTCTGGTGGAAGGTGTCCCTGCCCATGGCAGGGGGTTGGACCTGGATGAGCTTTAAGGTGCCTTCCAACCCAAACCATTCTGTGATTCTATGACTCAAATACTTGGTGACACCTATAGCCACAGCTCTGCCAGCTTTCCTGCTGGTAACATTGACAATGTGTGCAGCTTGTACTGCAGCCCTTGATCCAGAAAGTGCGCTCAGACTGTGCCTAATGATATAAAATGACATCAGGTGATGAGGAAAGGGCAGTTACTATCCCTAACACTTCTCTCAGTATCTGTCTGTGCGATTCGGTTTCAAGTCCCACTCTTTCTGAAATGATGTGAGAGGGCAAGAAAGAGACATAACACAGAAGAATCATTAAATTAGCACTGGAGGCACTTTGCTAACAAGCTGCAGACTTGAGTTCATGTTCAGCCAGTGAAAGGAAGTCAGCTGTGGCAACTGAATAGAGCTAGACCGAGAGTTTGATGAAGTCTCTCTCACTGGTTTTCACACTCTTTATGTTTTTCTCTGTTGGCTTGCTCAGGTGTCTCCCTGCTCAGTGTGCTCATGTCTGGGACCTCGACCCAGTGCTCCTGCCTCTCCAGGGTGAATGAGTTTTTGAACTTGGAATGATGACTTCTTCAGTGGGGCAAAATGCTTAATTATTAGGCACAATAAAAACACAACTCAGGACCCTTTGTAAATCTAGTCAGAGTGTTTCCACGCCACAAAGAAGCCTGTACATGCATTCTTAATTCTAAATATTCTTATATATATTCATGACATAAATTTCAAACAGAAAATGATTTCACAAATAAACACAAACCACAGTACTTCTATGCACAGTATATGTTCAACTTTGATCACTAATTTAACTGATTTGTATATAAATTGTAAACTCTGTGGTTACAGAGATTACTGTTTTTTCCCTCCAAATACAATATTTAATATAATATAAATAACTTAAAGTAATATAAATCACAAAATAAATTTTTTATTTACTGAAATTTACTTTGAGAACATGTCACTAAAGAGCGGCCCTCACATGGCTTGGTCTGGTAGAGTTATGAAATTTTAGAGTTATGAAACGTACCTGGGTAGCAGAGCAACACAAGTAGTCAGGAGGCAAACTAAATAAAATACTGGGTCTGACATGTGCTTTTCCATGATCCAATAAGGATTTGATGGCGGGTTATGGGTTTTGCAGGTTGCCCCAAAAGCCAGAGAGAAGACAAAGTAAAACAGGATGCTGCCAACTATAACTACTGTATGTATCCAAGTCTGCAAATCAGAAAAGGAAAGAAATCAGATTGAAGCTGTAAACAGAAAGACCTGTAACACCTGTACGCGTGCACACATGCATGCATGAACACGCACAAACTCTTCCTCCAAGGACGGCTGCTTAATGTAACAGTGGACAGATCTGTTCAGATAATATTCCTAATTTTATGCAAAACATTCCAGGAAGAATGGAGCCTTCTTCCTGCAGTTCATAGGTAACCCAGCCATTTAATCTGGTTTTATTCTACTAAATGCATAGCTCTTTATTCCTTTGCGAAAGACATTTTTTGTTCCATTTGCCTTAGATGACCACCTCATCCACCAGCAGCAGAGAAACCCTTCTCAAGCAAATGGAGGCAAGATCTTCACATGACACCACCCTTATATATCTTGCCTGAGACACTGATGTTCTATGTTGGAGTTTTCTATAATTCTATACCTAAACAGCTATGATAGCAACTATGGAAACAACACTGTAACTGGTCTGACAGATTGCTAACATTCAAAAATGCCAAATAAAATACATTTAAGTAATGTATTCCTATTCAGAGTGTGGATACACTCATACTATCACCCATATATTCTCAATAAAGACATTTATATCACTGTTGCCATGCTCCCCAAAGAACAATGAAAAGACTGAATCACAGCTTGAAACTTCATCCATTATAAAACAATCTTCAAAATATTTTTTAAAAAAACAGAGAACAAATAGAAACCATTAATTTGTGTGCTTCTACTACGAGTATTATTGTATTTTCTTTAAAATTATGCAAAACAGCCAAGTATTGCCCTTGTAAGGGCTGTAAATTTTTCCAAGCTAATGTAGATGCTTTATCTTGCGCAGACTGAATTAAAAACTGGAATAGCATTTCTGTAGCATATTGGTTCTCTAGTTTGGCACCATAACATACCTCTGCATTGTTTATCCTGGCCACAGAGCAGATCACCAGTTCCAAGCATTCAAAATCAACAGTTCACATTGTTGCCTTTGAGATGCAGCTTTGGGAACTAATGAAGGCTCGGTAGATCACTGGTTGGTTTTACCATTTGCAAAACTAAACTGACATCCCCAAAACCACTGTACCCTAACAAGGCAGGATCCTTTCACTATTTACAAATAGTTCTGAGGCCAAATTTTGTTAATTTTAGTCATGCGAGTAATTCCATTGGCTCCAATGGCAGGTGCCTTAGGAGAGCTCACATGGTTACAATAACAAAACAGTTTGGTTTCAGCCCTTTTATACCTATACTGGTTTGTATATGAAGTTCTGTCTTCCATTTAATTTTAACATACTCTGTTAGGAATATACTCTCTTGAAAACAAATTACTCACCACAGACTTGCACTCAATGAGAAGGTGCAACAGTATTATGAAGAGCGCTGCTGTGTTTATAGGGTTTCCAAAAGAAAAAATGTCTATGTCTGAGCCATAGTAAGTCTGTAAAGGAAGACAGCGGTCAACATAATATATTCTTTACGTATAGTTCTAATACACAAAGTGACATGAATAGTTTCAGTACCATATATATTTGCATGCACACATTTCAGCTCAGTTCCAATGCGGATCCTGTTAGTACACATTTATATATGAGGAAGTAAAACCAAATTAATTTTATTCTCCAATTTGCCTGGGTTTTCAGTATGTCAAAATGTATAAATGTATTTTATATCCAGCACTTACAAAGTAAGGAACAAAAAAGCAAACGAGACTTTGGTAAAAAGCATCCAGCAAGGTTATCCAGAAAGTTGAAGGCAGGTAAGCCTGTAAGAAAAAAAGATAACGGCATTGAAACCAACTGAACAAACTGCTGCATCCTTAATTAGCATTAATTTGGATTTGGGGGAAGGATTACCTTCAGAAGTAATTCCAGTTAGTTTCCCAATGAAGAGGCATCTTCGTGTTATATAACAAGAATAAAGAGCTCCCTCCACACATGCAGCTAATAGTGTTTAAATCAGCAGCCAGATCTGGGAACTGTGATCTTGCAGGTGCTTCTGCCAGAACAGACCTACCAGAGCCTTACCTAAGTGAGTACTAAGGAAGGGAGAGGGCTAGGGGACAGTGAATTACCCTCTGAATGCCAAGTCCCACTTTCTTTTATCTCCACCCCGTTCTTTTTGGTACATGTGCTTCTGCCTCTTAATTTGCACTGGTTGACTCCTCTGTGAGCTAACTTAACTCACTAGAATGTGAGAAATTCACTTTTCTGCTGGAATAACATATTGCTGTTTTAGTGAGTTAAATCAGCTCCTGGAAGCATCTGATGAGACAACTGAGCTGGCACAAGAAAGGTAGTTTAGCTATGTGGTGAAAACAGGGAACAGGAAGAAAAGAAGGGAGAAGGAATGAGCCTTCCTCACTTAGTGGCAGCAAACTGCTGTGACAGCTCAACTGCTTATGAAACCACAGTTGCATGTGCCCTGGCTCATGCCACATTCCTTCAGGGACTAAACTGAGACACAGAGGTGAGCAGTCGAGTCACCCGGGACTTCCTCTGCGATTAGTGGAGAGAAGTGGGTTTCTTCAAAAAGCCACTCAGCCCGTTCAAGAACTGAACTGCTCTCTGGAGGTGGTGTGAGAAACCTATCTTCTTATTTGCCTGTCAGGGAAATGCCAATGCTTTTCATTGCTCAAGATGAATCCAAGTTACTGTCCATTTTTATAGCTTGCACAGAGCTGTGCACTTGTGATGGCATGGTACAGTATTGTGATTCTACATCTTTTAAAGCATTTGTCTTTCTTCTATACTGCACTTAATTGAAAGCAATTGTTTCACTGTGCCTCCATGCAAGAAAGGAAATGATATACTACTAAACAACTCTAACCACAGAGCAAGGCGATGCCGTGCTGGACAAAAGAGAAAAACTCTGATAAAAGGGAAAAAAAAAAAACGGGAAAGAGAAAAACCATTGTGTAATGCAGCAATTCTGATTACGTTGCTTCAAAACCTTCATTTCAGCTCAAATCACCGTACATATCCTGAAGATGAAAACAAAAGGCCAAATAACCTTGTAACCTTTACTTGGTCAAAACTCTCTGTGATTCACAAAGCGCAGACCTACTCCAGCCAGTCTACGAAGGCTCAGGTTAGTACCAAAAGAGTAGTTAGTTTTGCAAAGATATCATAAACCAAGCAACATAAAATATTTAAAGGTATATAAAAAGAAATGTAAAAGTCCACAAACAAACAAAACAAATTGTCCCTTCGCAGTATATCCTTCTTTCCCTTCTAAACTAGACCTAGATTTCTGCCAGGTTATAAAGATGACACAGCACAGCTAGTAAACATGTTGTAGCTCATTTTTTTAAAATAATATTTGTTAGAACAGAATAGAACAGAGCAGAATAGAATATTTCAGTTGGAAGGGACCTACCACCATCATCTAGTCCAACTGTCTGACCACTTCAGGGCTGACCAAAAGTTAAAGACTATTACTAAAGGCATTGCTCAAATGCCTCAAACACTGACAGGCCTGGGGTGTTTACCACCTCTCTAGGAAGCCTGTTCCAGTGCCTGACCACCCTCTCTGTAAAGAAATGCTTCCTAATATCAAGTCTGTTATTGAAAGGCTATGATCATCAAGAAAATGGTGAGGTTTAGGTAACTCATATGCTCAATGTTTCTTCTCTCTGGGCTACTAGTATCTGTCACTGCCTTCAACTGTTATAATAAAATATTATTTTAATTAAGTGTTAAATTAAATAAACGATAAAGTTAAAATTATGCAAGAATTCATGCTGAGAAAAGCAGAAATGAGGAAAGAGCTTACTGATTTATGTGATTTTGATTTAGAAACTACCCACCACTCCCTGTGGTTTTCTGTGCTAAATGTCTGGACATAATTTATTTACAGAGCAGATATCATGTACAGTGTTTTCAGATGGGAGAAAAAGTGTCACCAGCACATTCCAGCACATACCCATACGGGGAGAAGAACCCTGAATGACAGAACCTTCCTTAAGGATTTGAAAGGAATCTGTGCTCTGGGTCTTATCTGCTCCTCATTAATTTGGCACCTTCTATGATGGTGAAAAAACAGTATCTAGTGCCCTTACCTTTAAAAGTAACCCATTTTAAGGAAGAATTACAGCTGAGGCAGTGAATGAAGTCAACATGCTGGTAATGATGTTTATCTAGTACACTGCTTCAACTTAAGTCCTTCATTTCTCTTATCATCCAAATGTCTGATAAGATTGGGTGTATGACTGAAAAAAGCCTACAAAAAACTTTTGAAAAAACAGCTTTTATTTGAGCACATACATTCGTGCACAGGCCTAGATGTTTTTCTAAGAGAGAAAGTGGTTTTAAACTTCAAGTTTGCCTGATGTGAACCATGCAGGAAGGAAAGACAGAAATGGCTCAAATGCTGACCATTTCATTTTGCTTCAGGCCAGGCATTCTTTAACCTACCACAGATTTCTGGCTCATCATGTACAGCTGTGGGAGCTGCATGAGTATCTCCGCAGGCACATCTTTGTCCAAGACACCATAAATGATGGGTGGCACCGATGTAAAAAGGAGATTGAAAAGAATCAGGATCCAATAGTCAGTCATTGATGTGCCTGAAAACCCACAGAAGAACTGGTACCAGAACAGGAGGTTCACATAGGCCTGAAAAGTCAAAGATTACATGATAAAATTTTACCCATAAACAAGTGTTTTAAAAGCCAGGAGGAAAACAGGCAGATCTTAAGTCTGGTTACAGTAAGATGTAGAAAATTAAGTATAAATGCTGTGGAGCTCATGCCAATCCCACACTTTGAAATTATATTTGACTAGCACATAGCTTTACATTTCAAAATTGGACACAACTTGTTTAAACACTCATGCTGACACCACATTAGTAATGCCTGTTACCCACCGTTTAATCAAATCAGACAATGGCTTTCAGTGGAAAATGCAATCCAAGGAATGAGAGCCTCTGGTCTTTGCAGACATTATTGGAAACTGTTTGACATATGCTTTTTGTGTCTTTTTGAATCCATTCACAATAGAAACTAAAAAAGAATATAAAGACCCACTAAACCCTTTAGTTCTCTCAAATACGCAAAACTGTGACTTCCCTGGGATGGGACAGCTACATACCACATTCTTGTAGAAGAAGTAAAGCACCATGTTGGTAAGTCTGGTATAACACCAGTGACCATGGACAAGCAGCAGCTTCCTGAGGTGTCTAAACTGAGAGATTGCAAAGTCACTCGCCATCACAGCCTGCAACGCACATGAAGGAAAGGAGACGTTATATCCAAACTGTTAAAGATAAGCTTCAGATACTGCCAAGTGAGCAACCTACCTACTGCTGGAAATTCTTTATGATTTTTTTATACATAGTGCTTATGGTCTTACCCTCACTCAGATCTAAGCCCCTCCATACAACATTCTACACTAACACACACAGCTCAGCCCAACACAACAGGCAGGAACATGGCTGTCTCTGTTATTAACACACAACTGCACAGAAATCAGATGCTTAGACTGCTTGCTTCCTGGCAAGACATGAGTAATAGGGAGTTTGGTGACAGGCAGCAAGCTCTGTTGTTTGGAGTTTGAATCCCTGCAGCATCCAGCTTCTGAGTGCTCCTGGAAGAGTGCTGAGGCCCGGGTGCAAGCTCAGGCTGCAAACTCTTGCCCATGCAAGGTAATGGACTATGGAGCCACTGGGCCTCCAGGGTAAATTCTGAACTGATTTAAAATGGAATCTGATGTCATTTGCAGCTGTCTTTGTATACACTACCTGCATGCCTTCTTGGCCTGATATTCCCACACCAGTGTCAGCCACCTGGATCATACTGACATCATTGGCACCATCACCTGCAGAAAAAAAAAGAGGAAAAGTCAAAACTAACCTCTCTTATTTGGAAAGCAATCTGGAGGCAGTTTTGCTGGCTATCCCATAACCATGGGTGGCCAGGGAAAGACAAATACACAAGAACACCAGAGTTCAGAGAAAAACATTTTTACGGCCAGAAGTGCAGCCTATGGAAAACCCTACAGAAAGCAGGATTAGTAAGCAGAAGGCCTGGCTGAACCAAGCTATATTCTCCAACTGGATACTAGCTGTTCCTTTTGTCAGAATTTAGTTGGTATGCTGGAAGAGAAAATATGGGTGTTTTAAATCACAGCCAGTCATTTCCCATCTCCCTCCCTATTTTGAGGGGTTGTGATGGAGAATGACAAGACAAATCCCCTTTACTTGCTCCTTTGGACATGTTATGTAACACTGTGCATGACTGCTCTTACTGCTTTAGATTACCATGAGTAAGTTTATGGACTAAATTTGCTAGTTCAGAAGCCTAACATCATCTTTGGCACAGACAGCTACAATTCAAAGGACCGTCTTCCTTGTAAAGTAAATTTTGTGACAGACATTAACAAAAATACAGGAGAGAAGAAACTGGCTACTACTTCTTTTCAGAGAGAAGAAGATAACCCCAGGGCTCACCTACAGCTAATGTCATTGCCTTTAGCTTATTTCGCACCAGTCTGACCAGGACACTCTTCTGCAGTGGTGTGGCTTGGCAGCAGACCACAGCCCGACATTTTTCTGTCAGTTCCAAGAAAATATTCTGTAGGCTGTCATGAAGGACATGCTCTAAAGTGCTTCCATCAATAACCAGGCCTGCACTGAACCCTGGAGCTTGGGTGGAGGGACTTGCAGAGACATTCCCAAGATTCTGACTGGAGTTTTTTTTGGCAGAAGTATTCTTCTGGATGCCTTCTAAAATTTTGCTCATCACCAAGGCACAGGCATCCTAATTAAAGACAAGAGAAAGACAACTTATTAAATACTGTTTGCATCCTGGCTCCCTTTTCAATTTATAAAATATATATGAAGATATGGTCAAATGCTGCCCTTGTGTAACATTTCCCTTGAATCCAGAAAGGCTCAGACATGAAGCTGAATACCTCTTTAAAATCACAGAGGATACAGTCGCAGTTGTTAATAAAAGGGCCTGTGATTTTACTTTGCTTAAGTAGATTGGCTTGGGTATTGTACTAGGAGAAGAGGAAAAAACTGAAGCAAATCAGAAACTGTTCATAGACTATCAGAAAAAACAATCATTAAGGATTCTGTAATATAAATACAATTTTATAGAAGACTCTTGCTCTCTACATTTCCTCTGTCTGGTATGCAAAGCCAAAAGTGCATTTCAAGTCAGATTATAGGTGAGCTACAATGTATTACTTACTGAAGAACTGGCCTTGTGGAATTTCTTACCTTCTCAGGATCAATGCAAGATGCCCAAACGATTCTTGTTATCAATATACGTATTGTGTGTGCTATATAGATTAAAATATATATTCTTAAATTTTCTCATTATTTTACTTTGAAATGCAACAGTATCAAATCCTGTCTATTTTTATTTCAAATCCCAGTTAGAGGGAGGATGAGCACTTCTGCAAAAGGGCCTCAGTTCTCACTGTTAAGTAAGACACTTGTTCCCCAGTAGGAAAAAAGGAAGAAATAAGTGTTAGTAAAAATCAAACACCAAGCCTTCCTCAAATACAACTAGACTAAAAATTATTTCCTTTTCACTTTATTTTTCCCACAGTTACTACTTGCCACACAATCTTTTATGACAGATACAAATTGAATTTCTATAGTAACATATAAGCAGAAGAAAAAAAAGAAAAATGAAAGGTCTTAGAAAAATCCTCCAGTCCTTTAGAGAAGTCTCAGATTTCATGTCTCTGCTCTGATGATAGACATTTCATACATTAGCTTTACCAGTTACAGTCAATAATTTCTCTCTTAAGAAACCCAAAATTGATAAAAATCAAGATGTGATAAACAGCTAGTTGGTTATAAACATCCACAAGAGGATCTAATGATCAAGTAGGATTAAACTTGCCACCCAAAACTCTTCATCACACGACTCAATTACTGGGTGGTGGGGAGAAGGAGGCTTTTTCTCTGATAAAAATGTTGGCAGATTATTTTTCTTCAATCATGTGCGATGTACTTTAATGAGACAATTCTTTGTACATTTATGCAATACAATGGCTGAAGAAATATATTACACAGAGCAGCACAAAACCTAATTCAGTAGAATTTACATGACAATAATTTTTACATTGCTAACATGCTGTAACTCACAGCTGTTTGAAATGTCTAAAACATGTGAAGCATGTCAACTCTCTAGCCTACCACAAAGAGATATTAAGCAGTCTGTTCAATTAAAATAATAAATCATCATTTAGGGACTGTATATAACAAAACAGATGTTACGTGCATATAAAGGATTTAATACTTTATCTTCAAGGAAGCAAACCATCAGTTTTCCAGTATTTTCATCTTCCAAGAAATCATGCTGTCTTTGGTCAGTTGGGACAGCTGAGAACATTGCATTTTTCTGTATTGCCCTGTGATATAGCCTGACTGAATCCTTCAGCAGAGGAAAAAAAAAAAAATAAAGAAAGAAAAGTGTAATTTTCCACTCACCTTACTCTGTGATTTGAGAGTGAAGATTCTGTCGTCCGGTTCCAGCAGTTTACAAGCATAGGCAATATTGATAGCTGTCTCTCTCTTGTCACCTGTCAGCATCCATATTTTTATTCCTGCTTTCCGTAATGCCTGTATTGTGTCTGGAACACCTTCCTGCAGGCGATCTTCAATGCCAGTGGCACCTTAATTTAGACAAGTAGAAGGATTAGTGCTGCTGTACGTCCAAAACCAAAATGCTGCAAGAGTGACAGGACAAGATGCTCCTCTGTGTGTGTCCACATCCCAAAACAGATACTCTACTGGGACATGCCTGGGAATTCCTTCCTTCCACGTCTTTCTGTCCCAGAGCCCATCACATGCAAGACTATTGACACATACCCTCGTGACAACCTCAGGGGCCTCCAACTCTCCACAAGACCCTTTTAAGCCAACTTTTCTCATTCTCACAGTTGTTTCATCCCATAGTGGCTGTAGGACACTGAACCCCAGGCTTCTCATGACAAATATACTCCATTATTCCTACTCCCTCCTACCTCAGACTACCCCAAACCTTTCATGTATCACCTCAATCCTTCCTATCTCAAGGTCCACTTCTCTTCCTTATTCTCAACTCTGCTCCAGGCTGAATTCTCTGTACCTCGCTCCAAGCCCTCACCTTTTCACACTAAAATCCGTTCTTCTTATATCATATTTTTGCACACTGCAACCTGCCATTCATCATCAGGTTCCTCAACCACTGATTGCCACAGTACCTCCTGTTCCAGGTCCTTTCAATTTATAGCCCTAAACTCTGTGTTTTGCCCTTCCTCCTGCCTGCACTGCCAACCTTGACATACTCCCCCACAGGGAGGAGACACCTGCTTTAACATACATCTCTCAGTGGTTATAGAAAGACTTTCAACAAGAAAATACAAAGACTTTAACAGATATATAGAAAGACTTTCAACAAGAAAATACAAAGACTTTAACAGAGATACCCTCTATTGTGGTGTGCACAGCAGGCAGACCTGCATCCCTAAAACTTGCTTACAAAATCTTCTGTTCTAGTAACAATGAGGTAACACATCAGCATAAAGCAGAACCACCTCTGAAAAGCTGCAGTGTTAGCTGATTTAGTATGGTACAGGACATTTTCATGGCTTTTTCACAATACAAATGGTACTAAATCATAAACCATGGGACGTGGTTTGGCTTGTGAGATTCTCAGGCTAAGAGAGTTTCTCAGAAAGAAACTTCAGCCAGTTGCAGCTAGGTTTGTTCTGAAAGACAAACAAAACAATTCAAAGCAAAGTTTTCCCTCCTAGTATGTTTCTAGTGCAGGACTCTAGCCAGCAATTTGTATATGAAGCACTGACTGTCATATGGGGATGGATAAGAGCCAAAAGGTCAGGCAACTTTCTGATGCTACAGCAATTTCTTCAGAAAGTAGCTGCCAACAGGGCACAGAGCTCATGGCCCCTGATAATTGGGAAGATGAAAACCTCCAGGTCCTTGCTCTGCACTCTGCCTGCGTTTTGATGCAGGTCAACAGAGGAGGCAGAAGGAAGATGCTGGGATCTATTTAATACAAGCTTCTTTGAGAGACACTGCCAGGCATCGTGGGAAGAGAGAAAAATGTTGTTTCAACGTGGGAAGTCTATACACTTTACACTCCCCTTCTGAAGGGATCCAATTGCTTTCTAACACAACAGAAGCCAGTTTCCATATGTATACTGCTGAGATCCAGATCTGTGCTTGGTTAAGTACCGCACATTATGACTATGTTTTCCAGGAATAGATTTCCACTCAAACAAAGGTCTGAGGCTTTATATATAGCCATAGGGATTTCATACCTGCCTACACAGTGGACTATACACCACTGCTGTCCTCCATGATCCTGGCAATACTGAGATGAATTGAATTTCTGCTTGTTGTTCTTTGAGGACAGTCTTTATTTCTCACTCCTAAGAGGACAGTCACGAGTTACAGCTGCAGCTACCTCAGGTAATGTTTATGAAGAAAGCAAAGGAAGGCTCCAAGAAGCAGAATGAGAAGTGCTGTAAGTAGTTCTACTCTTCAGATCACAATGTACGTATGCCCCAGGCAGAGGTAACTAATCTAGCAGAGGTACTGAAAGCAAAAACCTTGGCAGTATGAAGCCATTTACCCTTCTTGTTCTCACTCCCATTCAACGTTAGGACCAACCCATATTGCTTAGTCCCACTAGAGACACAAGACAAAAAAAATGCCTTGGCCTGCAGCACAGCAGGTCTCCACAGCAACTAGACCTCCCTCCTGATTCCAGTGCAAAAGGGTGCCTGTACAGCACATCATCCCTTAAAACTACAGCAGCCAGCAGCACTGCTCTGGCTTCTCTCCGGAAACCGAAGCCAGTAATCCCAGAATTCCTTTTAATGTCAAGGTTTACAGCATTTGCCTTGAGCAGATGTGACACAAAATGACGAATGCAAGACCTTTCCACACAACAGGATCTGTCTCTTTTCAGCTTCTAGCATGAGCTGCCTTTACCACCACAGTCAGACCTTTGCACTCTGTTTTTCACATATTATTTCCTGGGCAGGCTGCTAGAGCTATTATCCCAGACTGCCTGCAGTTTACCTTTTACACATCTAGACCAAAAGTTTTTCATTTTGTTTTGGACTCCCCATTTCTGCACTGCTGAAAGACCAACAGAGGAGTGGCTCCTGCAGAAGCACGCCTGACTTCTTATCTCCTTATTACAGGAGGGCACAGCACAAGCACACCTGATGTGCCACAAATGATGGCACATGATTCAGTGATGAAAAACATGCCCAGAAGGGGATCCCTGTGAATGTTTGCCCAGGCAAGTCTGTGATTTGTTATTAACATTTCACGTGCTTATTATGATGACACCTAAAAATGCTGGTGAGCACAAAAAAGAAAGCCAATTAAAAAAAAAAAAAAATAAAAAATCGGTAAACCTTTACCCTTTACAAACAACAGAAGAGCACTAGCTGTCTTCAGTGTGTTTGACAACTAGTACAAACTTACCAGCAAGATTTATGAAAATCCAGAAGTGACAATAAATTCTAGGTCTGTAGAAAGCTACATGTTACATAAATTGAGGCAAGCACAGCTCTCTTGCAGGTAAATTCCAGTTCTGAACATGACAAGCAGTTTCCTGGGAGTTAAGCATTTTCTACCTACCGAGCAAAGTTAGTTCTGTCTCAAGCCTGGTGGCAGATTCAAGCAGCAGCGCCTCCCTATTGTCAATACTGGTTTCGGCTAAAAAATGTTGATTTAACCACTCAGCATATTCTGCATCACTCATCACCTACAGAGGGAGAGAAAACATACGGCATATATCTGTACTGTGTTTTCAAAGGCACCTCACAAGTGTCCTCACAATTACTTCTGCTGTCCAGATACTGACCCCAGAAGCACAGCCCCAGGCAGTGCATTACTTACGTGTCCCAAAATGTCCATGGTTTTAGTACAATGTCCTTAGTGTTAGATTACTTTGCCAGGCTTCACGAGCCAGGTTACTCACCCGCACCCTGCAGGTTCCTGGAGATGCCTGACAGATTTCCATTTAGATGGAAGGTGAGCAGGCCAGTGAGCATAGTATACTCTCCCTACTGCTCTTTAATTGCAGCACTGTCACAGCCACAGAATCACTGCATGACTGCGTACAGCTTGATAACTGTACAGCTACACCGCCTGTACTTTCACTTTGCATAAAGCTTTGTAAAGACATTTCTTGCCTGTTCCAACCCCTAGGGAAGTTTACTTCTGAGCAGGTTTGAATTTAAAATGGAATCTCAAAACATCACTTTTGCATCCACAGTTTGTAACACTGCAAAGTATTCGTGAAACCCAATAAAACAGGTCTGACTTCATTTGTTTCCTGTGTCTGGAATTCCAACCAGGCTAAGTTTCACACAAGGAGACTTGCTCAGGACTCCTGAATTAAAATCAGACTATTTGACAACCCCTGCATTAGAATTAGGCTATTGAGCTGCTTGGCATCCTGAACTGACAACAACTATGGCAATCTAATGGAATTCAAATTGATTTGGGTCAACTTACAAATTCCTCCTGAAAGAACATGAGGATAAACAAAATGTGGCAATGGAAGCATCTGTTTAGAAGCGGTGATGCCTGCTCCATTGGTGATACCACAAACTGTAAACACTCTTAAAAATATGTATTAAAAAGACTACCTTCTTAGCAATACAGAGAGTGCGCAGTCCTCTTCTGGCATAGTCATCCAAATGCTTCTGAGTTCTCTCTTTAATCTTCTTTTGTTCCATTTCTGAATTACTAGTACCCACTATCACACAAAAAGCAAAGAAAGCAAATTAAATATGGATTCTTAGACTAAATTTAGCGGAAAATTTTGAAGGGCTAAATAAATTTTAAAAATACCAAAACATTAACAGGTTTTAACTGTGAATATACCTTCACGTTTGCACAGTGTACTGTGGCTGTGTCTATAGTGAACACGCAGTGTGCCAGTCTGCACAAGCAGTGAGGGGGAACTCATCTGGTACTGATACATCTTTGGATGCCACTAGTGTATCAAAATGTTTCTCTAAAATAATTTTCTGAAATGAACTGGGCCACAGACACCCAAGCAGCTCTACTACCACTGGTCTAGTGGGAGGGAGCTAGAAGGGCAGTCACTGAAAAGGTTTTTTAAAAATAACTGTTAAGGGGTGGACTATTTAGACAGGCATTCAACTCACCTAACTTCGGACACGTAGAAATTAGGTTCCAAGTTTAGTTTCAGAATCAAAGTAAGGAGAGGCACCAGACATGAAATTACCCCCCTAGTAAGAGGACAAATTTTGGAGGTACTGTTTCTGTCCCATGGCCTACGGAGGCTTTTTATCTAGACTTCAGATGGCTAATGTTGGGCGAGTTAAAATCCACCCTTGGAAATATCACTCTTTCTCACTGAGATCAGCCAGCCATGGAACATACAAACCAAACTCCTTTTTGCAGAAATCAAGCCTTTAAAAATAATTCCTTTATATTACTTTCCAAACCAATAAAAGAAAATCCCTGGAACATCTTCTGAACTTAAATATGTTTAGGTATTTATTTCTAACATACACAGATACTACTTTCTCTTTATTGCCTTCAGTTAAAAATCAATGACTGTTCACTACAGTGTATGAATAAATCAGTTAGTGCTTCAACAACATGGTGCATCCCTCCTGTGGCAGATTCAAAAAACATTTATCCCTGAACAAGGCCCAGTAGGAGGCACCACACAGCTTTACAGATACTATTATTACACCTAGAAAAACAGAAATAGTCAGTAGTGAAGTGAAAAATACTGAAAAAGCACTGATAGGTGACATCTGCTACCAATACCTCTCTCCAACAGCTCAGAAACTCTAACATAGGTAAAGTCTAGAAAGAATCTCATTCTACCAAACACCTCTCACTGTGTAGCAGAAACCAACTGTTCAAGCTGATGACCTTACTTTATAACTGGAAATACTTCAGTTGCCTCCAAAGAGTCTGCTTAGACACCACTAAATGCTTTGAAAACCAGCTGCTTCTCTCTTTTCAGTTTCTGCACTAGCACACAGCACAGTCATCTCTAAGTGACAAGCAGTACGATCTTTCTGGGTTCCCTATAAGGAACTATTCACAGATAATAGTTCTGCTTGGTTACTTGTCTCTTCTTATGCATCAGGACATCTGCTCAACTGCACTGAAGAATGACAAAGGTGAGCAAAGAATTAGAAGTTCTGTACATACCTTCAGATGCAGTTCTCAACAAATCCATCATGACTGAGTCCGCACCTTTTGTGTACACCACCACACTGTTGGAGACTGGATGCCGAACCACCACTGACATCCTTTTCCGCACTGAATCAAAAGGCAGGATATGCAAAAGCTGAAACGTTAAAGATCCCAGACCTGCAAAGTCCACAGTTACTTGATCTGGAGTCCTAGACTGTAAAATACATTTATAAGCTCTAGCAGCATGAACCAAGGCAGCTTCATCTGGACTCTCAGCTTCGTAACATAGTTTGGTTAAGGGAGACTCTTCAGTAGAGGACGCAGCACTGCTGTGTTCACAGCCAGCAGCTACATTCACCATATCTAGTTCTTGAGGCATTTGGCAATTTTCTGGGCAGTCAGTATTGAGAGGCTCAGCAGCCCCTTCAGCAGCTGCATCCGAAGCAGATGAAGCCAGTTTCATTCTGAAAATAGACAGTTTGCTCACAAAACTATTGGGGCTTTCAGGTGATGACTCTTTTACACTTGGAAGTGGGGAGGAACTTAGTCTCCAAACTGACAATCTCTGGAACATCTGTCTGATTTCCTCGAGCGATTTAATAGGCATCCTACCCAGTGATGAGCGTCTCATCTGGAACAGAACAGTTAGAGAAAGCATTTATGTTAAATTCTTTGTATTTTATTATATTAAAGAAGGATAGCTTACAAACTATGTGTATTTCTTAATAAATGCAGTATTTCAAAATTTACCATGAGTTTGATTGCTTGTATTAAAGATTGTCAACTCAATTAAACATAACCATAAGTACACTAAACAGCTTTCTGTAAGAGCTCCATTAGTCAAACCAAAAGAATTGTAGAAATACTTCAGATCTGAAAACTGTACGCATTCCAAGTTTGATTCATGACTCCATGTAATACTTCTCTTTAGTACTGTTTCAGTAATGAAACAGTATGACATTATAACTTTTAAAAGTTGTGGCAAATGGAACTAGACACTTTAATTCTTATTCTGAATTAGCAAGATACTTAAGAATAAACCAACTCCATACCCCTCACAGTAAGTAGCTACAAGTACTGTTAAAAATATAGTACCTCATCTCAATACTTTTTTAACGTCCGAATTTAAAACAAAAGACAGTTCCCCTCTCATGATTGTTACAGAATAATTGGCTTACTGTTATTCAGAACAGTTAGGCAGCTAATAGCTTACAAACAAGTAACAAGGCATGCAAGGCTGACATTCATTTCTCATTACTGGTGAAGAGTTGAGAATGAGTTATCACCAGGAAGCATGTTCTCCTTTGCCACTGAAAAGCATAAAGTAAGGACAGACTCTGGTTTCAGTTCTACCACAACTGCATGCAAGCTGTAGTGTGTCTCCATTCAGCATCAAGGAAACAGAGACTAGGAACATCCTTTCATCGCCACTCCCCAGGGCAACACTGAAACGTCCTGTGGCCTCAGGCTCTTTCATGTCATTCCCTAACTGTGAACTCAGAAACATCACGCCACATTGCCCCTCCCAGACTACCTCCTAGTGACCTGGAGATCTTCTCCCCTGCTAGCAAGTCATCTGGAAATATTATTCTCAAAAACTGGAGAATCTTGCCTGTATATTTTTCTACATCACCGTTAAGGAATGGCTGATTTGTAACTACGAACACAGCTGCCCCATCCCCACAGGGACCTGGAGGCTGCCTACTGTGCTTTCTGTGAATGCCTGGAAGCACACTAAAATACCAGGCTTATTTATAGGACATAGGAGGTACTTTATACTCCACAGGATACCTTTGTGAATGTCTCCAGCCATGCTTGTAGGTTCACTGCCCAGATGGACACCAAAATCTAGTCCTGCACGTCACATTTTTTTCAAAAGACAAAGTCAATAAATGGAAATCACCAGGGGATGGGGGGAAGGAAACCAAACCTGAACTTGGGAATTATCCTGCAACACAGTCAAAATTGGTAAAAAAAGGGGTTATGAAAATCCCACCTTGAAAAATATAGTAGTATCTTTAAATATATGTTAGGTGGTACGCTCTGAAAACAACATGTGCTCTCAGGAAGACTTAAACACACTCCAGACAATTAAACCATGACAGTCTAGCAAATGCACCATACATTCAAGGTGAGACTACTTTATGTTGAACTGCAAAGCATTTTTTCTTCAGATTATTACACACATGAAACTTGATCTTCCATACTTTTGCTGAAACTCTATTTGAATAGTCAGGGAACAGGCAAGGACATTCACAGTTCCAATGTTCTGGGAGTCTTCTGAGATTACTCTTATCTTTCAAGCAACAATAACCTACTTGTAAAGGTAACCTGAGTGTTAGGGTACTCTTAAAGGAAGACATGAGCATATCTGGAAAAAAGATAACTAGAATACAGAAAAAATCACAATTGCAATTTAATCTCAAAATCTGTCTTGTCAAAGTTATGAATAGTCTATACACAGAAGCAAAAATACTGGAGCCAAGTTTTTTCTGCATTGGTAAAACATCACCAGCATTATATTACACATTAACGCAATGCACTCCATGCGTTTACAGTAATTCCCTTCTTTCTAACAGGATAAACCAATAGAGGAGGAAAGGATCACTTTTTAAATGTCAGTTAATTGTTTTTTCCTTCTGTAATCAAACAAAATGGAGCTCAATTTTTGATAAATATGGCCAAATAGCCAAAACTAAGGCCTTCTTACCTTCTGGCGTGGCTGATTGGGGACTGAAACTACAACAGTATTACAGATTGCCAGAGCAAGAAAGAAGTCAGTGATGTACATTGTCTCCAAAGATAACTTGCTGATGGCTTCTTCTGCTTGTTGATAGGAATGAGAAGAAATTTGGCTGAACTTCTCCAGCAGTTGTGTGTCTGGTACAACATCCGTTTCCTATTGATAAAAGGAACAAAACTATCCGTTAGTATATAAGCTTAATCTCAGTCTCTGGAGGTCAAATCAGCTACAGATGAATGAAGTGTAGAAGCTCATACAAATTCCTTCCTGTCAGATGCTGAGTTGGTTACACTAGGAAAGAGAGGAACACTCTGATGTCTTCACTGCCTTGTACTAGCCCACTGAAAACATCAGACTTCATGCCCAGACAGGTAAACAGTAGAGCCTTAGTTCACAGACACTTCAACGGAGATTAAACATAACAAATTCTATTTAGACACCTTCAGGTACAGAAGCAGAGTTTTTACCTCTTATAACCACCAACAAATATTGGTCATCCAGATATTTCCTACTAAAACCAAAAGAAAATGCTAGAAACCTCTTAAAACAAAAGAACAAACTGTTATTAAGATGAAGCTGGTCATTTAAGCTGGAGTGCTCATGGACTCACAGCAGCAAGAACCAAAGCATACACCTTTGTGATTCAACGAACATCTGCGATTTCAGCTTCAAATAAGATGCAGCCAAACAATCATATGAGATTCTGGTTTTTGTGGAAGAGAGAAAGGACTTCTTAAATGACAAACACTCTGATTAAATGGGGGTAAAAAGATATTTTTTCCAGTTAGTTCAGAAATTCAGCATCAAAAACAACACCTTTTACTTACAATGGGGCTGCTGAAAGCAACACGTCCTGAGTGGGGAACATCACCTGCTCCATCTTCCCTTCCTAGTGCAGGGTAACTACCAGACAACTGTTTCAAAGACTTTCTGTTCAACGGTTCATTCACACCTCTGCAGTTGTGCCCCTGACATTTTGACATATGGGTTGAAGAGCCACACTGACGATCAGCTGAATCCTCATCCTCTGAATCCATCTCTTGATAGGATTCCAACCTCTTTGCTATGGAAAGGGAAACAAAATTACTGTTCCATGAGCAAAAATAAACTTCTCTAAAACACTGTCTGGAGGTTCAGGAAACAAAACTTTAAAGTAAGGAATTTAGTACAGAGTTAAGAAAAAAACACCATTTATGAAAAATAAAACCCGTAACAAGTCATCACACTGACTTCCTGTTTGGAACACTGAGCCTCAAGAGCAACAGTCAACTGCAGTGAATTCAGAAGAGGGAGCAAGAATGATCAGAGATCTAGACAACATGAGCTGCGTGGAAACAGTAAAATAAGCTGGAGTTACACAGCCTCCAGAAGGGCACACTGACAAGGGCCAAATAATCATCTTGAAGTACACGAAGGGCAATTGCATAGAGAAAGGGAACAGCCTGTTTTCTATGCACACTGTGGGTAACAGAAGACACAATGGTCCTATATTGTGGCAAGACAGATTCAGGCTAGGTATCAGCAAAACTTTTTCAGAGAAGACGTGACATACTAGAACAGAATGTCTGAGAAAGCAGTGAATTGGACATCACTCGAGGTCCTGAAGAAACAAAAAATCTTGATAAAGAATGATAGAAATAACTTTGCCTTAGGCCAGAGAAATGGGACCAGATCACCTCCTGATATGTTTTCTAGCCTAATTATTTGACAAGTAAAGCTTCTAGCAGGAACTCATTGAAACTGTGTTTCTTATCATTTCTGTACTGGACAACCCCTCACACACACACACACGCATTTTCCAAGTATTTAACTGAAAAGCAGGTTTCAATAATAAAACTTTGTATTGACATGTCTAACAACTTTGAACTAAAGATATAAATGCAGGTCTGTGCCCCACAAATGTAGTTAGGAAGATCAGTGGCGTAAAGAACCTCTGTAGCAAATGGAAACACACCCATGCTACCATGTGCTTGTTAAGAACATACCCAAGTGTTTGCACTGGAGTTCTGGGGCAGTGTTTGACCACACACAAGAAGCTGCAATCTCAATCCAGACAGCACTGGATCACTGTACACTATTCAGCTTTCAAGTTTTTCCCTGTCACTGTGAAAATAGCATGCAGTGAGCATACACTAAATTTCAATGTCTGCATCCACAAACAGCACAGAAAAACTGTTCTGAAAGATGTGCATTGCCTATTTATTTCATCAAAGTGTGAATACAAACAATGGCATCCTAGGAAAAAAACAATATTAACATACAGACATCTCCTGCAACACCACTAATTCCCTATTTTTATCTTATTTAAAGTGGCAGCTACTGTAGTGGAAAGAAGTGAAAAGCGGGATATTATTGATCTATGTGAACAGGAAACCTATCCACAGTTCAGAGTCACCAGCTCTGATGCTCAAAATGAGATGAAAATAGGTTTATTATGTCACTCGTGAGTCCTTAAGCTCCTAGCCAAAGCAAAGAAGCTGAGCTATGCTCAGGGAATGAGCTACTGGATTTGCTAGCCTGTTAAGTTCTCCTTATTTCCTGTTGTCTTCTCATTCTGGAACATAAATGAAACCCACCTGTCCTTCATCCTGCCATTCCGATGAATCCAAGGAAAGCAGAGAGACTAGAGCTTACACCTTCATTAACACCCCTGATGTTAACATGAATTTAATAAGATAGTTCTTTTAAAAAAATAGATAGGTGGGAATGTAACAAACTGTGGCTCTCCACAACTACCAAATGTAATAACCCATATGTGGTATTGATACCTTTTACCAGAAAGCAGTAACAGTGGCTTAGGCCGTGTTTATAGAGGCAGGTTTGGAGAACGCATGCCCACTCCACTATGCTTCCAGGCTGTGGAGAAGCCTGCATGCTCTGTCTGAAGTAACATACGTGGCACCTCTAGTAACACCACACTGCTCTGCTGCCATGGTCCAAGCAGGACACGATACTTTAGACAGAACTCTGCATGGGGGGCACCTATATAGAGGATTATACTGAATCACAGTCGTTGCCATTGTGGACTTCCCTCTCGTGCATCCCTTTACTCTGGGCAATACAGATATAAATACAAAAATATATGTACAGACTAAGTGGCTTGTATGCAAAAAACCATACTGTCATGCACTGCAACACTTACTAGATGTAGCAGGAGCCTTGCAAAAGGCACCTTTATGCAACTGAACAAATGTAAAACAGGACTAAAACACAGGATCTCCAATATTTTTCAAACTGATTTTCAGGACTTGCCTAATTTCTAGATTTGTTAGAAAAAAGCACATGCTTACCCTCCAGGTAAAAGGCAGGGCACATCAGGAAATAATTAGGAACATAATTAATGCACTAATATTTTTGGAAGCTAACTCTAAGTGAACTACTACTAGTAAGTGGTAGACACACTGTCCCTGGCACAGTGAGATCTGGATCAGCCACAGCTCCAGCATTCACATTACTCTTTGGTTTATCTCTTCTGAAATACTTCACCTTCCTTTAGGAAATGCGCTGAAAAGATATGCTACTTTTTATTTGTTATTCATTCACCAAGTTCGAAACTTAAAAATGTTTCTTCTCACTTTGCTGTTGACATCCTTCCCAGTATAATTATGCAAATCCAAAGCAGCACCGGGACACCCGCATCAAAAGATTTTCAAAATATGTGAAGAAATTACTGTAAAAACAGTTTGCAACCATCTGCTCCTGTGACACAATAGAAAGGCTGAACTCATTCACGGCTGTGGCCAGCAGGGTGTGCCGTTTGCTCGCAGTTGTGAGCCGTTCTATCCGGCAGCAAAATCTCCAAAACCACAAAGGGGAGTTTAATACACAGCTGAGCTTTACGTGTCCACCTGTCAGCACCTCACCTTTGATCTCATACAGAATACTCGCACTGCACACCAACAAAATAGCATATGCCTGCAGCCACTAGTACTTACATGCAGTAATAGTAATAAAAACTTAATTGTTTTATCTAATTAATAAAATAGCTAATTGAATCAAAGACTTCATGTCACTCTGCCCAGTTTTCTCTTGTGTCTGGAGCTGTATCTTCTGGCTCTCCGAAGGCTTCAAGTAGGCTCTCATGAAATGTATATTGAAAGTTGCTACTCTATTAGACAATGAGGCAGCAACTATTTAGTAGCAGCACTTGTCAACTTTTTGGCTAAAAATAAACAGGCGTCTAAGTAAGAATACAACAACCATTACTTTTGGTGAAGATACTTATCGTTGCAGCCTTAACATACCCATCTACAAACATCTGCTTGACCTGTACCTTAACATTACTGTTAAGGCTCTGACTTCAGCATGTATTTTATTTGGGTTATGGTATCCTCAAGGGCAACAGTATGTTGAATTGGAGCCTTAAGATACGCTACCTAAAGGTGGTACACTGCTACAGCAATCAGCAGGATGCCCGAGCCCTAAAATGCTAAGTAAGCATTGGCACTCTAGTTGGAAAAAGAAAAAAATAGAGGGAAGATTAGATGGGCAATTTTCCAATGTCCTGGGTTCTGAATATTGCAAGGAGAGAAGCAAACCACATTGGGCATGACTTTCTCCAGAGCGAGTAAAGAAAATTTTGTTTGTCGTATCAAATATGTTGGAACTTAACTAGCTGCAAAGTATCAGCCTTTTAGTCTCTTAACACACTCTATATGAAAGGATACAAATAATGGGGAAAGGTGCATGCCTACTAGTAGGATCAGTCTGAATTCATACCTTCTGTGAGTGTGCATTGCCACACAAGTCCACTGGACCCCTATCAAAACTTTCAGCTTCTCTGAGAAGAGAAAAATGACCCATTGTGAACACAGGTTTATGTCTTACCATTTTCCTCATGGCAATACTCCTGTCCTGCAATGCTGCATCTCCGAAAAACCATCTTATTTTCAGTGAGGGTTCCAGTCTTGTCAGAGAAGATATACTGAATCTGGCCAAGGTCTTCAGCAATATTCAGTGCTCGACACTGAATTGTTGAGTCTGTTTTCTCATGGTAAAAATCAATGTCATTCTGTATTAAATAAATTTGTCCCAATTTGACAATTTCAATTGAAACATAGAGAGAAACTGGGATCAAGACCTACCAAAATAAAACATGGGGATTAAATAAAACCAAACTCCTTGGCCAGTTACAAACATGAAGTAGCTCTACTGAAGCCAAAGAGTTACCTCAAGGATATAAATGAGATCAGAATATGACCCATGTTCAAAGCAGACCAAAGTTACCTGTAATAAAATGATCATCGTCCAGAACATATTGAACCCTGCTAATGTTGGAGGAATCGATTTCCCATCTGGCTCAGGGATGTTAAAAAAAGGTATTTCCGAATACCTACTTAACCAAATTCCATGGCCTTGAAAACAAGAACAAGATAAAGTGAGTCAGTTGTATGTAAACTGTACCACAGTTTGAGGTCAGTGTTAGCTGTTACGCTCTGCCGTTCTTTCTAAGCTTTTAAACTACCATTTTATCTCTTGAGTTTTTCCCTCAACAGGAACCCCATTAAAATTAATTAAGTACCAATGCACACACAAATAAATACCTTACATGCATTTCTATTTATGGCACATCTATACAACATATCTCAGAACAAAAGGAATACTACCTACCCTTGATAAACACATTTCCCCCCCTCCCAGAAACACCTCTGGCAATTAAATGTCTTATCCTTGCTTGTCCAGCAAGGACTTAACCTGTGAACACCATGTTATCATTATTACGCACAGTCTGAAGAAGCCTTTTTGAATATTTTAAGCACCTTTTTGATTTGTCATAGAAATTAGTCTGTTTAGATTTACACAAGCTCACTGATCAGTCCCTAAAATATCAAGTCCTTACAATTCTAGTCACACTAGGCCTCTCCCCACAATGCTGTATATACATCTCATGTTACCCAAAACATCCTTAGAGAAAGTAGGAGAGTAATTAATGAGAAAAAAAAATAAAAAAATAATTGGAGTAACAGGTTCCACACCTAAAAACTCACACCAGGCACATACTCCTTGAACACTCCAGGTTAAACATGACAACATGAACTAAAACCTGGCAGAATCCCCAGCTGCTAGGAAATTACACATGGATAAAGGCAGTTTTCGAGATGGGCTGTTAAAATATATCAGCCCCAAATTAAAACACTAAGCATTGTAGGCTGAGAAGAAAATAGCATGAGTCTGCCAATTCTCACTTACCTATTGCACCAGTTAAACACATCAAAATTAGAAGCAGAACACACCAAAGAATATCAGTGTTCACTCTTCTTTCCAATTTACTGCGCTTGTAATGAGGGCCGCTGTTATTCAGCATGGCTTTGGTTTCATGACCTGTAACCACAACAAAGGTTGAAATTCTCCAATAGCAGGTATCAGAACCACAAGTGCTTTGTATTTCTAAAGCTCTGGGAAACAGGACATTTATCTTGAACAGAGACTGTAAATATGAGCAAACTAACTGCTCCTACAATATGTGAATTCTGTCCTTAAAAAAAAACTGAACAAACTAAACCAAAACCTGTCATCTACACATTAACTTTTATACTGTCAATAATATTCCTTCCCATAGAAACAATCTTATTCTTGATGTTTTCTAGATTTTTGTCTAAAATTTTCTACAAAATCCTGCTCCTGCATTATCTGGGTGGATACATCATATTGATTAGTTCAAAAACATCTGCCCTTTCATACAGAACACTGAAGAACTGCACTAGCTTCACTTTTGGATGAGAAAAAAATCCTAAGCAAGCCCTCCATGTCCATTTCAAAACCTGGGTTTACCATCTCAGCTAACAGTTGAGGACAAGAACCTGTTCACACAGAACAGAGCTGACCTCCCTCAAATAATCAGACATATCAGTTCTTTACATTCTTTAAATAGAAACAAACTTAATCCAGACGTGCATTCGTAACATTTCTAGCTACAGCTGCCTTCTGCTGTGTTCAAGCGTTTACTCTGCTAATTCCCCTTTGTACCATACTGCTTCTTAAGGCACATCTTGTTTGCAAGGTAATCTGTGAAAGCCAGGGTGATTCACTAACCTGCATAGACCACTATGCCTACAACAGCTTCTGTGTTTCTCACTGTGCATCCTCGGAGCAGTAAGTTCTCCTTGCTGAGGCCCACTCGATCCTTGTTTGAATGCTCACTGAAAAAAAAAGCATGCTACTTCAGCTGTAGGACTCCAGCAATTACCAGTCAGGATTTGCAAAGACATCAGGGAGCAGATTTCCCAAAGAAGCTGCTAGTCACTGACTCCCATTCTGACATTTCTGATTGGACTTTTCAAAAGAATGGGGTAGCATGCATGCAGATCACCTTTGAAAATCCAGGCATATAGGCACTGTATTAAAATTTTCTTGTGTTGACAAGCCTAAAATTTGACAGCTGACATAGGAGAATTGGCAACACTATTGAAAAGAGCTCAAGACAAACACTGGAAGTCTGAAAGCCTTCTACTTGGATTGCCAACATCAGAAAAAAAATTCCAAAAAAATTTTAAATCCCATTTTAAATATACTGTGAGCATCATTACTCCTGTAGCATCCTTTCAGTGCAATTACGCCCACTGTTTGTCAAGGTGTTTCCTCGAAGACTAAGATTTATATATATTTATTTTTCTTTTCAGATTTCTAACATGCCAGTGCCCACAGGGAAGAAGAATGTAGACATTATAACTCCCCAAAACTGAAGATCAGTCACCCCATTAAATAGTATTTTGTTTTCCTACTGTCTGTAAACCCATAAGAAGAAAAGACGCAGATAGGCACATCAGTAAAAAAGGAGTTTCATCAGGTCAGTGGTGGTTACAAAAAACAAATCAGAATAGGATAGAAAGCCAATCCTTCCCATTTCCAATTCTGAGCAATGCATCTTGTCCAATCAGGCCATGGTCCAGATCAAATACTGTAGATATCACATTATTAAGATCAGATTTGAAACAGCTATTTCAAATATGGAATATACAATTGCAAAACAGCCTGAACTAAGATGATGAAAATATTCAATATAAAATAAAAAGCACTAGTGGGCTTTTCCCAGTTCACAATCTCCTTCTCAGAAAGCCCTTCTGGAGTTCCATCTGTTGGGCTGCACTCAGAAATGTAGTGGTACAAACTGACTTCTGTACATATTGTCATTATTTTTTAAAGCAAACATTTCAAGCTCTCTGAAAATTAGTAAGAGCACCAAAGCAAATGACAATAGTTCAAAGAACCACCAAGCCTACTTACACAAAGCCTCGGAAGCGACTGAGGTCATTGTTAGGACTTTCACACTCTATTCTACTGGAAAATTTTTCTGGATCAATTTCAGAGACCTAAAGCCGTAGAAAAAAAAAAAAAACACAGAGGACTCAGACAAAATGTGATGGAACTTAAGAACATAATAATTTCATAGGTTCAGATATTACTAACAATTTAGCACCAAAACTGTAAGTTGCTGGTGGGGTTGATGATCTGCTACCCAGTGTAAATCAGACTTACAAAGCATGGAAGGACTTCTTAGTAAATATCAAACCCTGGCAAGTATCAGTTGAATTGCTGGTATTTTGAGAGCAATGGAAAGGAGAAAATGGGTGGAAGAGTGATGGCAAAGGAAAAAAAATGCAGTAAGAACATCTGAAAAGCAAAGATCTCACACAGGTTTTTTTTCATAATTAAAAAAAAAAAAAAAAAAAAAATGAAGCACTGTCTTCTCTGCAAGCAGAATTTCTTCCAAACAGCTGCTGTTTCCAATACCATGACCAGGATGCTGTAAGTGCTAATGCAAAGAAATCGGGTAGAACTTTTTAATGATGCTTGAACCTTACCAGTATCAAAGAAAAGGCTGTTAAGAAAAACTAAAAGTACATGTTATGAAAAAACAGCAGGTGAGCTCTTCCGTGAAGAGAAAAGCCAAGCAAAACAAATATCCTTTATTAATAAAGAATGAAACCTGACAAGAAAAAAAACAAAAGGTCTTTTCTTTGGAATTACCTGCAATTGCACTTGCAATTTAATTTCAATTAATGGTATATGAGTATGCCTCTAGTCTCTAGTATAACAGAGGCTAGCCTCTGGTATAACACAGCCATTTCCAAGCTGAGTACCTTCTACTAACTCTTTGGAAGGTCACTTGTTCTGCTCTTCAGAAAAAAAAAAAAAAAAGAATGACCAGTTTAAGATTTCAAACTCCAAGGATAAATCTATAATTCACAGTTGTAATTGAATACATCTACACAGTTACAGGTCTCTGAGAAGGCTGCACTCCCACAATTGGGTGACTTTCCACTGGCAGAACGGCAACTGTGAGGTTAAAACAATCCTGTAAGTAGAATTTGAAGTTCAGAAAACATAATATTATTAACACATACTTTGTTGTCTCGATTAAAAAAAATTGTTTTGCTGTATTGATTTGCTGCACTGTATTAACCTGAAGTCAATATGAACACAGCCTTATAGACAGACAGATGCCTTCAGTCTCTTTGTAAATTTAATTAACTATGAAAGATCTCTCTCTCCACTGACCTTTCTCATGTTTATTTGTACTAGAAGCATAAAACTTCTGTAAAATGTTAGACAGTATAACTGATTCATGCTTTTCACACATTCCATATTGCACAATGATTACGCAAAAAAAGAGCACAAAGAGAAAAGAACTAGCCCCGGTAGGAAGTAAAATAGCCAAAGCAGTCAATTCTTTTCTTCTACTGCCTGGAAACTGTCTCCAGATATGTTATTTCTGGTGAAAGCACCTTATTTTTGATGGACAACTAAACCATCTGACTTGATCAAACAATCTGTAATAGCAGTGAAGCTGTTAGTAGGAGCTTCTTACAATATACCTTGAAACAGCAACCCCAAAACTCAGGGTGTAACCTACAATGGGGACAGAAGTTACATCTACACGCTGCCAGTATGAAACAGAGGTGACAAAAACTATGTCCAAAAGCAGGTATCTTGATATGGGCATTCAGATCTTCCTGGACTATAAATTATGCAGTTAGGACTGGATTCATTCATTGACCACATAGGCTGAGAAGGAACTGACCAGTGCAGCCCCGTGGCCTCTCTTATAACGTAACAGGAAACATTCACTGCTCACAGTGAGTTGGTGCTAATAGCATATTAGCTTGTCCATGCCAGTGAACCTGTGCTTGGTTCAGCTAACCACATAAGGTGTGGAAGGAAAAGGAGATTAATCCCTTCTTAATGGGAAGCAACATTTGAGTATCTTGAAAACAGCAGAGCAATATCATTTTATTCACTAAATAGCTCATTATTCTCAGGGAGCAGGTCCTCAGCTGTTCCATGTATTTCTCGATGAATGCCAAGGTTGTTGGAGACACTATGTTCTGTGCCTTGTTACCTGCTGTTACCTAAGAAGCCTTGAGTTACTCTCCCAATCTCTCTCCTGTTGTCATTTAAGTATTACAAAAAAAAAAAAAAAAATTCTAAGTTGCCAAAAAATAAATCTGACTATAAGAGCTTCAGCTCCTGTTTCACACTTTAATTTTGTCTTGCCTTCTCTCTTAAAGGAATCCCAAGTGCAAGAACAAACGCCCCACTGATAACATTTTCACTGTGTTTCTACTTGCTCAGTCATAAAGAAGCAGGACAATACACCCCTGCAAATAGGTTAAGTCATTTTATTTCCTGGTCTTCAGATGTTGTTTAATTTGATGCAGTTTATTCCTATTCTTCTGAGCTTAAGAAATTGAGATGTCAGGTAGTCAGCCTCTTACACAGCACTGCCGGTCTTATTTGGCCTGAATTTATAAGGACAAAGCCTGTGGCTGAAACTCAGCTGGCAGGGCACTAGAGGTCCGTGAAGTCGACCATGGCCCTACATTCAGAAACCATGCAGTCCTGACAAGAAAAAGCTACAATTTTTTTTTTTTTTTCCATGAATGATGAAGGAATTGTCACTTTTTTTGGACAGTATGATTCTTCCTAGCATTTTGGTGCAGGTTTTCTGGAAACATAGAAAACAGTCTCTTTCTTGAGTGAGACTGAAATCAGTCCTTGGTAGCAAAAACTAGTATGAGATCAGGGCCACCTCAGTATGATATAAGCCTGTAGAACCATTTGAATTTTGCCTTACATAACAGTCCTTTCTGCCTTATTGTTTTAAGATTAAATCAAGAAAGAAAACAAACAAACAAACAAACAAAAGAATGCATGTCACTGTACGGGGATAAGAAACAGCTTTGTTCATGGGTATCACATCATGCCTTTGGTATAATTGCTAAGTAACAGGGGAGTCTTAATGCATAACAAGGTACCTCATTTCCTCACCACTGCTGACAATTCAGAGGCTGTTCAGGTATTTTTATCTCCAGAGGACTAAACAGTCTGTTCCTACAGACAGCACAGAGTCTCCCTGCTGTTGTTTTCAGCATGGTGTTTCAGCAGCAGAACTCAGTACCAACTGTGCTGAAGACTGCAGAAACGCCAGGATTCTTTGTTCTTTGGATATCATCTTCTTTGTGCCATCCTTCAGCATTTTGTCTACTAGGATCAATATTATATGAAGTTTATTTGTCTGGTATTAAAACAATGGCAGTCATCTCTTCAGTATCTGAAAAGGCTGTTACGCATTACTTATAAAGCCTTAACCATGTGACTTCCATGGTTGAAAAGCATAAATCCACCTATTTCCCACCACGACTTGGTACATGTAAACCCTCTGAGACCCAGTGATGCTCAGTCTTGAAAAGAAGAGATGACTCCATTAATGCTGTTCACAGTAGACTTGTAGCAGAAAAATTCTAAGGGTTCCAAAGGCTTTCTAAATCCATGAAGGACTAGAATTGGAGCTAAAAATGCATTTGCAATATGAAAAAACAGTGAAAGAGAGAAGATAATATCTGCTCCTCTCTCTTGGTCTTTATACAGCACAGAGCTCCCTTTTAAAAAATTCCAGTTTCTCACCCATGACAGGATATGTACCGTAAATGATTTCTTGACATTTACCTGAATAGTTATTTTTACTGGCTTGCGTTACTTGAGATAGATCTCTTTTTCTCTGTGTTAAGTGAACACGCAAAGATTTGCTCCAAAATAACTCAAGCAACAAATTAGAACTATGTTACCTAGTTATTTTGTTTTCAGATAGGGACTGATTAGAACTATGTTACCTAGTTATTTTGTTTTCAGATAGGGACTGCTGAGCTATCAAGAATTAGGCAGTCTAGAGGGCTGGGTTATTTGATTTTTTTTTCAGTTGACCATCTGTCATGTCAACTTTCTTAAACCACTAGAAATGCACAATTATCACCTGCTCTGAATATCCTCTCACCACCTGCCTCTGCTTTAGATTGGTTTCTCCATCAAGGCCTGCCGTTTCAATGTAACAGATCCCATCCGGGTCACTAGAATATAACAGCACCATGTCAGCAGGAATGATTTCATTACGCGAAAGCCGGATGAAGTCCCCAACATTGACATTTTTCCAGCATTCATCTATGTATTTCTTCTCCTTCCTGAAATACAGATAAAAACAGTAATTTTTTTAACAAATGCATAAACTGAAAGCTAAGAGAAAGACACTGTAACTAGAAAATTACTCTAACAGTTAATTTATGCCTCCATGTCATTAAAAAAATTCTGATGAGATAGTCTATTAGCTTCAGGTGAATATAATTACAAAGAATCAGGACTACGGCTCAAGCCCTGTTTTTCTGGGAATTACATTCCAGACACCCTCCCAGAATTATTTTAGTTCTATTTAAAATTCAGTCCACTTGCTTCCTGTATTTACATTATTCCAAGAAAGCAAACTGTTTTCAGGATTTCTCTTCAAGTCACCACTTTTTTTTTTTTTTTTTGCAATTATGCAACCAAGAACAGCAACTCTTTTCCCTTCTGATAGGGCCTTTCAAAAATTTTTGTCTCCCAAGATGATGAACATCTACCAAGATGTAAGGCAAGAATATTCATCAACGCTTCACCGATAGTCTGAATATAAAAACTTGTATTTACAAGCTTTAAAAATATCTTTTCCATTAATTTTTAACGTAAAGTACCCAGACTCTGTAATACTCAGGGAAGTCAATAAAAGCTCAGGCCCATCACATTGAGCTGTAATTCTTTATTAATATGAAATATCCAGGCATGATGTACACAAGTTTGAACTGTTTTCAACATTCCATTTATAGCTGCTGTTCTGTCCTCAGCTGAGATGAAGAATCTTCCTTTTATGTAATCACAGCAGTTTATTGCAAACACAGTCAGGTTTAGAGTGGTGAATAAACTGCAAGGTAACAAGCAGCAAGGAGTGCTTGATGAGCTAGCCGGAGGCACACAGCAATAGGCTGCTGCAACAGGGGTGATGAAACACACCCACAAATGCTGCACAGGTCTGGATGCAGTACGTTTTTGTATGAACTATTACTGCCCTGGGTGACTGCCTGGCTTTTCTGCCTTGCACAGAATAACCCTAGAGCTTTGTTTAAAGAGGGGAGCAGGTGTTCCGCAGTCTTTGTTTCTCAGTCACCCAGACTGGGGTACAGTCCCAGCTGTGCTAGGGCTGTCTTCCATGTCAGGCTTCCTTCCTTGTATCTGACCCTAAGCTGGCCAAGAAGCACACTCACACAAGGGAGTTGGGCAGCACGCCCAGCTTCTACAGTGCAGACACAAGCTAACAGGCTTTGCAACATGGCCATTGTGTGTATGTGTAGACTGGCTCTTATCTACTAGCTTTAATCAAAGTGCTAGCTGTGAAAATGCTTCTGATACAGTGAAATAGAAACAGACACTTGTAATAACAAATATCAGAAAAACATTCACCGTATCAAGCTTTGCACTCATACTTTTCAAGACATGCATTAACTGACAACAGAAGGCACAAAGCCCACACAATTAGTGTACTGATGACAATTTCTCCAGTGAAGATAAGGTGGAGGCAGTTATATTGCTTTCAAAGTGCAAACAAAGCAAAAAACAGGAAGCAAAAAAAGCTGACATAAATTAAACCAATATAAGCCACATCTGTTTTCTCCTTAAGATGCTCATCACTACTCTTCTACACAGATGGAAAACTGGCACAATGTAAAACTCAAAGCTACAGCCACGTCTATCACAAAATAGATGGATTCAAACAACACTGCAGGAATTAACTTTTGACACCAGTACATTCTCTTGAAAATAAAGAGGGTGAGGGTGTGGAGGGGGGGGAAGGAGTTGAAGGAAAAATTTCTAAAGTAAATTAACAGAAAACAACCTAATAATAGAGGTAAATGTGAAAAGGGAAGGAGGATTTGCCGAAACAGGATGTGGGTCCCAGTTACTGGAAAGGTATGACTTAAGCTTTGATAGCTTCAAAGGTGCTGATGAAGTAAATCTATTCAGGAGACTGACCGAGCTGAAAACTAGTGACCTTTTTTTTTGTTTAGAACTACTGCTCAGGTATTGAAAACATCAGCGTAACTTTTCGTGTAGGCCAGTTTACCCCACTATGAAGATCAAGCGAGTGCAGTTGGGGTACAACACCAACTGGAGCAGAATAACCCTGGTCACTCCACAACAAGGTCCCTTTTACCTCACCCTCCAAACAGGATGGGAAGGATTTGAGAACCCAGGAGGGCGGTGAGAGAAAATTACTTCCACAACCAGCTTGTATCTAGAAGAGTTAGAGAAAGGACGGAAACAAAAAGGTAAGCAAGACAAAATAAGCTCATAAACAAAGAAAGCAATGGCATCGCTGCTGTAGTAAGATAAAAATATCAGGTGAAAAGTTGTCAAATTTTGCCACTGACTTCTACAGGAATCCTTCAAAGTGAATTAGAATTTGCAAAACCACAGAAATATTTGGAAATTGAGGATTTTGTGACAAAGCAACTCTTTGATTTATCCTTGAATTATTTACTAGAGATTAAAAAAAAAAAAAGAGAGAGAAAAATGCTACTATTCTTGCATCCCTGTATTTTTTCTAGCTACTATGTATTTCACAAAAAAACTATGAGAACCTTTTTGTCTGTGCTACGACTGTTGAGATTAGCCATCAGGAGATAGCAAATATCACAGAATGATAGAATCATTTAGGTTGGAAAAGACCTTTCCTTTAAGATCACCCAGTCCAATAGTAAACCTAATGCTGCTAAGTCCACCACTAAACCATGTCGCTAAGCACCACATCTACACATCTTTTAAATACCTCAAAGGATGGTGGCTCCATCACTTCCCTGGGCAGCCTGTTCCAATGCCTGACTGCTCTTTTGGTAAAAATTTTTTTCCTAATATCCAATCTAAACCTCCCCTGGTGCAACTTGAGGCTGTGTCCTCTTGTCCTGCCACTTGTTACGTGGGAGTAGAGACCAACACCTGCTTCGCTGCAACCTCCTTTCAGGTAGCTGTAGAGAGCGATAAGGTCTCCCCTGAGCCTCCTCTTCTCCAGACTAAACAACCCCAGTTCCCTCAGCTGCTCCTCGTAAGACCTGTGCTCTAGACCCTTCACCAGCTTTGTTGCCCTTCTTTGGACATGCTCCAGCACCTCAATGTCTTTCTTGCAGTGAAGGGCCCAAAACTGGACACGGGATTTGAGGTGCAGCCTCCCCAGTGCCAAGTACAGAGAGATGATCCCGTCCCTAGTCCTGCTGGCCACACTATTTCTGATAGAAGCCAGGATGCTCTTGGCCTTCTTGGCCACCTGGGCACACTGCTGGCTCACGCTCAGCACTGCTGTCAACCAACACCCTCAGGTCCTTTTCCACCGGGCAGCTGTCCAGCCACTCTTCCCCAAGCCTGCAGTGTTCAGTGGGGTTGTTGTGACCCAAGTACAGGACCCGGTAATGAGCCCTGTTGAACCTCATACAATTGGCCTTGGCCCATTGATCCAGCCTGAAAAGATCCTTCTGTAGAGCCTTCCTCCCCTGAAGCAGATTAACACTCCCGCCCAACTTGGTGTCATCTGCAAACATGTACGTATACAGCAAAAATGTATACAACTTCCCCAGATGAACAAATACATAGTAAGAAAATAATTGGGAATTGTATTAAACACTAGCTAGTTCTGCAGCATGTTTACAACTGATATGACTATGCTTGACTAAATGCATGCAGTAGAAGACTCATTACAATTTCTAGGGGATTCTTGTTAAAGAAGTTAAGAAATTCTGAATCATAATGTGAGATTAATAGAAGTTTAAGATAAATCAGCTCCTTAACCATGCCTCCAAGCTTAGTTTTAAAAACAGACTATAGGATAAAAAGTAATTCATGATAAAGGAACTAAGGACAAAAAAAGTTACAAAAGCGAAATACTTATAAGCACAAGATGGAATTTTTACATATGACTAATATGGCCACTGATTATCACACAATTTTGGTGATGGGGAAAGAATCAAGACAGAAAAGAAGATCAGAAATTAATCCTGCTCCACTGACATTGGTATGAGATTGCAAGTGACACAGAGTTTTCAGGAATAAGGATATTGAATGCTTCAGCTTTCTGGCAATGAATTCTTTCCGGGTATAGCACAATATAATCCAGCTTCTCCCTTAAACCTTCTCTGCAGTCATGAAAAACATAGAGAACGTTTATCTTCCCTAATAGCCCAATTATTTACTTGTCTAAAGCTCCAATTTTTATAGGTTGAATAGAACGTTACTGGGGAAGCTGCTATATATATTTGTGTTTGCAGAACAAAAAGCTGTTTGTTTTTCCTTTGATGATACAAAATGATAGCCCAGACTCTTTCTGTGGTTACACACTATCTCTTAAAGTACCAATAGAGTATGGCAAATGGCAGAAAGCTAGAGATTTCATCTTCTGAGTAATATCACAATATATTTAATGGTTACGTAGTACCAGATTGCAAACCTGCTGCATGGGCTGGTTAAAGTCATGTCTACAGTACAGAGTTTAGGGTTCAGCATAACCAGCTTGCACATTAAGATTTTAGAAAAAATTATTTTCAGTGTATTGCCTTCATTAGGAAAAGGTATGTCTTTAATGAAAAAAAGGAGCTTTAAATGCAGTTTGGCACTACAGCAACTACTGTATGCTACTGCTCAGACTTTACTGAATTTGTTAGCGTCTAACTACCAATCAATCCTCTCCTACAGGTACTATTTGTGATGGCTATCACAACACCGGAAAAGTTAAGTTTTTCAAAATTAACCATGCATAATAACTACCTGTCAGAAAACCTCTCACCACGAGCACGCTCTACTCCTGACCTGCACCTACAGTCTGTAACACTGCAGTCCTGCACTGTGGAACAGATGCTAACATTAGCACCCAACTATGTGATGGATTCAATAGAAAATAATCTCATTCTGTTTGGGGAAATGTTATTACATTATGAGTACATCCCAATAACATTGATGAGCTTTACCAATACAGTGATAAATTAGCAAGCCTTGAATTTCCATGATGCTTACAGCGATTTTAGAGGAACTGAAAAAACACCTTTCAAAAACAAATGCTATGTACAACATAGTACAAACTCATGCATGAACACTCTTTCCTCAACCAAAGAATACTTTTTTTCAGCAAATTTTACACTAATTTCATATCCATTTAGCAAAACAGGTGATCAAGACTCAACTAGGCTAGTCCCTAAGCAACTCGATCTAATTAGAATTGCTTTGAGCAAGGGGTTGGACTAGATGACCTCCAGAGACCCCTTCCAATTTAAATTATTTTAGGATTCCAGGAGTATCCAGAAAGTAAACCAAAGATTTGCCAACAACTTTTTCACATATATTCATAATCAAGTAATAACAATAAACCAGAAAGACTGTTGTCTTTTACCTGCTATACACTTTGGTTAGTAAGTTGTTTATCTGTTTATCCATTTTGTACTTTGAGTAATCTTCCAGACCATCCTTCACTGCAATAATTGTCAGAACTGCTACTAGAGGTAGCATTGTAATTTCTTTCTGGAAGGCTTCCACCAGAGGAACCCAATTTAGGACAACTAGAAATAGGAAATACAAATTGGCAACTCTGAAATAAAGAGAAAACATAAGAGTTAGCTGTGCTAGCAACCATCCTTATTCCCCCACTCCATGCTACACAGACACTTAAGTCAGCATTAATTTATCTTTTCTTCACCCCAACTGTAATTTAAGAACTAAGTATTCAGAACTCTGTTCCCACTCTCCAGTCAACAGATTACTTAGCTGCACAGTTGCCTAATATGCGTGATTGGAAGATGCAGAAAACAAGAACTTTTCTGTATTTTCAAACCTGTCTACCAAGCATATGTCTTCTAGTGAGGCTTTGGTGAACTTGCACACTTCCAAATTTCCAAGTCTTTTAAACTTAATTCTATCATCTTCTGGGGGAGATGACATGTTTATAAAAGGAAGCCATCCTACAATCTCCCTGCATAACTTTACAAATCAGCAGTCCTCCAAGCAGAAGAAGAATGAAAAACATTGGCAACAGAGAAACACACATGATAGAAGGGGAGAAATGCATTGCAGGAAATGAGCTGAAAATCCTACTGCAGATTGATGTGTGGCAGTGCTCCAATAGCAAGGAACAGAATTAGTGGAAAATACGTAAGCTATGGAGAAGAGGATTAACCAAAACTGATGATACCCAAGAGACTTTGGCCAAATAATACATATCTTTTCAGAAGCGATAGGTAGGTTGAGAGGAAGAATAATTTTTGAATACCCGACTACATAGTAACACACATATTTAAATAAAAGGATTCCACTTCAGAAGAATTACTACAACCAAAAAGGAGTTCATTACCTGTGAAACTGTTCAAATAAATTCCGTGGTAAAAAATTCAATAAAGTATACTTAGTAGTCCGTATTTTGTTGTTCATGTAAAGTTTTGATACTTTTTCATACTCTTCCTTAAAATGTCCCAAACAGGGTATCACTATCCTATGTTTGCCAATAGTTTTTGATGATTGATAGCACTTGTTATTTGAATTACTGCTGCTGCTACCTTCTCTGCCCTCTGCAGATATCAGTCGCTGCCAACGGTATCGGGCCCATCGGATGGGATCTGCCATTGTGCCCGAAACACTTTGTAATCCAAGGAGTGTCCTCTACCTAGAAACACATTAAAATACAGCAAGTTACATAATAATTTGTAAAGGCTTTTCAACTAAAAAGTCACAGTTACAGTTTTGAATAAGCCTAGGAAAAAAGTAATTTCCATATTTTGATTAAAGAAAAACAACAGACAGTCAATAGGTTATATGAGGTCTGGAGCCTCTGCTTCAAAGGTTGAATTTATCTGAATTTCATCCACCCTTTCAGGATCCTGGAGTCTGAGCATTCTATTTAAAATGCACAGTATTTTTGTAATAGCACCTGATGTAAGCAGCCCACCCACCAGTTTCTTGTGCTGTAGTATGGTGAAAAAAAGCAGACAAGCTGCTAATTCTGCAGAGAACATCATTTTGAAAGGAATCCTTATCTCAGACACTGCAGGCTTTGCTGATGGTTAACAACCTTTATTAAACTCAGGAGTCAACAACGCAGCAATAGGCATCTGAGTACAGCCTTAGACCTGAATTGAGGAATTGCCAGTGAAAGGCACTAAGTAGCTATCATGAACAAAAACCCCTCGAGTTATAAAAAGGTTTGAGAATTTTTACCAGCTGATAGAGGATGAATAAACTTCATGACAATGCTTCTCCCCTATTCACATTAGCTAAGCTCTAGCAATCTACCCAGGAATATGTTTTTCTAAAGAAAGTTGAAGTTCATAGGTATAGGTGATATTCACTTTATCAAAATACCCAATGCAGTCATAAAAGGACTTCTACACACAAAAAACATGCTCTAATAGCAGATCAGAACTTCTATTTTTCACAATTAATTATTTAACAATTTATGAGTTTTTACAATTAATAGTTGCTACATTTCTTGTACTACTTCTTCCATAGAACAGCTCATCTTACATTTGTTTAAAACTGTAACTTGCATAAGCCCCAATTCATCAGTACAGCTACTTCTCACTGTAGATTACTTTTGTTCCATCTGGTATCTCGCTGCCTGCATACACTATAGCGAAATTTTTGACTAAATCCTCTTCCTAAATTCCCCCACAAAAACTGCCTCTAAAACTTATTGGGTCTTTCCAAATTAAATCTCTTTACTACAGAACACCTTACACAGTCATCAAACTAATCCTGATTTTGGCTTCACTCAACTCAGACTTATATTCACGTGCTATCTCTTTCTCTGCTACTTACAAATGCCACACCGTGCTGCTCAGACTTCTCCAGAATGTTGCTGTAAAAAGTAATTTTCCAAACTAGTGATTTGACACCATCATATCTTCTCTTGTACATTTTCTCTGATTTTTCTTTTCTTCAATTACAATTAAGAAATCTTGAAACATGGGCACAGTGTCCTCAGCAGGTCCTCTAGCAATGAGATAATAATAATGTAGCTACATCAACCCATTCTAACCCACTGAAAAGAAGATTCTGCAAAATCTTTTTAGAAAGCTTTGCCCTAATGACTAACCGGCCTCTTTCTCTCATCAAATTAAGATGGAACATTTTCGTCCTATCATCATTAGATGTGGATAGTTATTGACTTCTATGATCTTAAAGTCTTGAAAGACTGTTACTGCACAGATGAAACTCATGTTCCTCTTTAGAAACCATGATCTGCATGTGAAGGGAGAAGAAGAACAAGGAGATAAAAACAAACCCCTATGTATTATCTCCTCTCAGCAGCCCCCATCAGTTCCCATGTGAATTGCCATTCTCCCAAGGCAACATAAGGGACCAGTCTTGAGAAAAGAGACTTTCCATTTTGCACAGGGCCAAACCTTGTGGTCCCAGTAACCACCAGACTACCAAAGGCAAGCAACTTGCCATAGGAAAGCAGCTATACCTGTGACTTCTTGGAGAAATGAGAAAGAGGTTGTAAAGATTTTCCAAGACACAGAATGCGACATCTTCATAATCCTTGCTCCCTCTAATCCTACTGCTCGGGGGACAGTCCCCAGCGGGACTGCCCTCTGCAGAGGTTAATATCCCATTTCAGTCACGGTCAGTCTTTTCTCCAGAAATGGAAACTCTGACATCTTGAAGCAGCTACTACACAACAATGAACTACTTTTAAGTATGACTACCACGTAGTCAGACATATGAATATTGATCTGTACACACGCGAGAGAGATGCTTAAATTCATTTGCTCTGAGCCTGAGAACAAGTCTAAAGCTTGGAAGGTAGCCAGTTCTTCAAGAACGTTTAGGGACTGCAGAACGTGCTGCTAGTAGACTCCACACTTGGCTATGCAGAGCTCTTTAATACACTCAATACATTCAATATAGATTCAATACATTCAATATACATTCAATTCATTTAATATAGAGCTCCTATAAACCAAATGAACACTGACCCATCTACACAAGTTAGAACTTAAGCAAAGAACAAAGTCTTGAAAATTAAAGAACTTAAAAAGCTGACTGGCTGAAAATAGGTACTTTCTTCTCTTGTGATCACAAATTTTTGCAATTCAGTTCTTAAAAAAACCCAACTTCTAGATTCTGGACAGCATCCTTAAGGCTTGGCCATTTTGAAGAAACAACATTCCTCCTTAACTGTCTCTGCTGTCACAAATCAGTAATTTCACAAACAGATTTTATGCAATGAGGGGCCTTTCTAAAGAAATGTTTGCTTTAATTAACAGTGTGCTGGATTATCAGGGAGAGTTTTAACATGCTTCCCTCCTTGTCCTGTTAAATTTCTCTGTCTCTTTCAAGCTTCCATCTCTAGCATCAATCATACAGGGTGTGCCAACTAACCATACTTTTGTTTGAAACAATAATTCTTTCCCCAAGTGCAGTAACCTGACATATCTCTACATACCGTTACAATGTGCAATATCCATATAGAAAGTGTAAGTAAACATCACAGAATTTTACAAGATGTCATATGAGCCAGGTATTTGAGAACAGGCTAGATTTGTAGAAAAAATGATGTTTGTTTTCATAAGACCGTCAAACAAATATCTGATACTCATGACTTCTGTGACCAGAAGTAGCAGCAAAAGTAAAGAAACTCCCAGAGCTAATGGAAATGCAAAGGCTTTAAATGGCAGATCCTGTTCACTCAGTGAAAATTATATAGGCAAAATAACCTCTATAGCTAAATCAACTTTAAACGCTTAAGAATTACACTGTCAGTAACATGCAAATAAAGATAGGAAAAGAGAGTTGAGAATCATGAAAAACAAAGGAGAGAAACTGACAAATTTCAAAATCTCCTAAATTCTAGCTCCTTTTGGTTTTCATAATTTACCACCTTTTGTAGCACTTGCTACCCAGTGACCACTGTTTAAAAAAGAAAAAAAGCAGGGGCAGCAGGGAAGGGTACTGGACATTTTAACATGACAGTATGTTTAGAGAGAATTCCTTACCACCATTGGGTCTGGAGCCAAAAGTTTAAACTGCATACGCAGTGTTGCTGAAGATCAGTCCCTGACTCCTAACACAGTTCCAAAACCTCTGCCCCACCCTTCATCATCCTGCTTCAGAGAAGCAGAACTTAAAAAGGCACAGGCAACAGATTCAATTGTGTGCACTGCATATTTCTGCCAGTATCCCCAGCATTTTATTGTAACAACTTTTAAGAAACCTCTGAAGAAGATTGTATGGACAAGAAATAACTAACACAAAACCACTGCAACCATATCACATTGGAAACACTGCATGAGAAGCAACAAGTTAATATCCTATGGTCAAAAAGGTGAATCAGACAATTAACCAGCATCTTGGGAAAAACGTATATGGATCTCATAATCTGCCACAACGCCCTCTGACTCACTTGGGATTTGACTGAGCTACTATTTGCAAATCATTTTTTTTTAAAATCATTTGCATTTCCATTTAAGAAAAGGATGTATGAGGTTTCAAGCTTCAGAAATCTCTTTTGTATTTTTTTTTCCTCTTTTGAGTAGTCTTCTTCTTCCTCACTGAATTTGGATCATAAAATAATAAGCACCCTTTCTTTGGTTACCTAGAAGGTGGTCAAAAGGAGATGAATCAACTTCATGTTAGATATTGTAAAGGACAAAGTTGCCAAAGATCAAATAAAAGCTGTTTTAAACAATTTTTCTAAGAAACCCCTTCTCTTATCACCCTCGTCATGTATTTTTTCATAGTAAATTCTTGAGTTCTCCAGCTGACCTGAATCCAAAGTAATAATACAAACCAGCAAATGTTTCTTTAAACACTGGCAAAAAAAGCCACAAGATGAGTTACTTTGAAGCAGTTTTTTGAACATTTTTTTTTAAAAAGTTTGTTTAAAAACCCCAAGAATAATGTTCATGTATCTGAAAACAGGAAGTCTACCTGATTATATTCTAAGTTTTGAGGACAGTGTCACACAAGCTAGACTCTGTTCTCATGTTCATGCTATACACTCGCATGAGCACTACATGATCTTGCTACGTGGCAATAGCTGATATAGAGGTAATCCAGATGTCTTACATGCAAAAAGGTGAGTTTTTGTAGCAAGCTCACTAACTTTCACATGTTCATGATGAAATGTGGAATGGAATTATCTGACACTAGACATATTATTTGCTTTCTCTCTACCTCAGTTCCCTCATGTACGCTGATTCTTTTCTCTTCTTATAAAGCACTTTTAGATACGGAAAACTGGAAGGACTAGATATGATTAGTGTGAAGTAGCTGGTTGTCAAATCTTTGTAAAAGCAAGGCACAGCAGTGTCATTTTTACCACAGGACAGATCAACACTACACACTATCCACATGTGACCATCCTATATCACAATAAAAAACCCCTTTAATAACTCTGCCAGTGGTATTGATAAGAAAACTTCTATTTTCAAATGGTTCATACCCTGAAAGAAGGGCCTTTCATCATAAAGCCCAGTATAACCATTCTCATGTATGTATATTTCATGTCCAGAAGTTGCTTTCTTTTCCCATCACTTGTTTTTCCTGTGTCTTGTAAACTCTGTCAGCCTCCAATTCTGTGAAGTATCACCTTCATATCCACAGGCAAGCCTTCTCTCCTTGCTCTCCTGCAGGGTGATGGAGTTAAGACTAAAAATTCCT